GGCGGGCTGCCTCCTGTGCTGGCTCCGAGGCTCTCCCGCGGGGCGGCAGGCCGGGCTACCCGGACGGGCGTCGGGGCCTTGGAGTGGAAATGGGCGGTCGGCCGGTCCCCCTCCCCCGTCCCCGAGCTTCGCGCAGACGCCCCCCGGATTCCGGTAACTGCTGGGTTTATTTATTCCTCTCTGAGGCGCTCAGGGCGGCCTGGCCGGGGCGGGGCGGGCGGCCTGGCGGGCGTGGAGTTGGGGTGGAGGGGCGGCGAGGAGTCAGGTGCAGCCGCGGCCCGGAAAGTTTCCTTTTAGGCCCGAATTGGGGGCTGCCCTCTCTCCGGGGAGCCCCGGTCCTAGCGCCGGTGACCCCCGAGGGCGTAGGGAAGAGCACTCGGCTAGCTTGAAACTCTTTGCCAGTTCCTGTCCATTCAAGGTACTCCTCCCCTTTGCACCCCTCGCCCGCGCCCCACCCCACTCCCCGCGATTCCTTTCGGGGCTGCCAACTCCAGCCCATTCCCCAAGAGCTCCCAGGCCGGGGGAAAAGCCTTCTCTTCCGGTTTGGAAAAGTTTTCATGGGGTTTTTCTTAGCGTTATTAGTTAGTGCCTGGGCTTTTGGGGTGGGAAAGGAGGAGGTACACTCAGGTGGTGTTTCTACTGCACAGTCTTTGCCTATTGCCTCTTTTTTGTCCCGTACCTCACAAAACGGGTGTTTCTTACAAATTTACTACCCCTCTTCCTCTCGGACCTCTTTGGGTCCCGGGTCCCCCTTTCTGGACAGCTCCGGCAAAAAGATAATAGGGAGCAAGCAAGGAAACTGTCAGTGAGAGGGGCAGGACCAGGCAGATTCTAGAGCAGTCCCCAGTTGTAGGACTTTTCCCTCTTACTTGGTCTCTGTCGGTTAAACCAACTCGGAAACTGAACCTTTGTGGGGGAGAGCTTGGTTGACAGACGTTTGAGAGTACTCAAAATTGGGAGAAGGCAGGCACAGCTTTTGAAGTAAGGTCTACCTGCAGTTTAAGGAGCACTCATTTATTTATTCTGGTAGTCACTATTTAGATTTATGTGATATTCTTAGATTTCACTCTAGAAATAGAAAAACGGAGATTTTAAGGAAACTTAAAGTTGTTATTGCTACAACTCAGAGGTGTCTGTGGAAAAGCCCAGAGAACTGAACATAGTTACATTTGGGTTTTGGCCTACTGACCCCCCCCCCCCAACCGGATTCAATTTTAGTTCTGTTTTGGTGCCATGAGCTCTAAAAGGTTTTTGTTTTGTTTTTTCTTTCATGTAGTTTCATGTAGTCAACTTAAATTTCCAAATCTAGATTTTCCTCTTTTCAAAGATAGGATATTTCCTGTGGCTACAACTGACTACCTCCTGGTTGTTCTTTAGTGTTGAAATTGAAATGTCCCCGAGCCTGCCACCCCAGCTCAGTGTGGGCATGTATGAAGATGCTGTTTTGCCTCTTTTAATAGTTGTTCGTTTTTCTTCCTTCTCTTATTAGAGCTTGAGGCAGTGGTGTGTGTGTGTGTCCTGCTAGGTAGCAGATGGGGTATTGCTGGCAGAGGTGTGCCACATTCTAACCACTCAGCTCAGAGTTAGTGAAAAGCTGCTTGCCACTTGCAGAGCAATGGGGGTAATCCATAACTTGTTCAGCACTGACTCCTGTCAAGTGTCAGACTGAACCTCCTATGTTTCCTACCAGGGATGTCTGTCCTTTCCTTTTGTCTGGCTAAAATAGAAATAGAGCTCTTTTTTTTTTTTTTTTTTTTTTTTTTCAGAATGCTAGATGACCAGCTACTTACAATTGTGCTGAAGAAAGTCTTGCTATTTGGAGATTGTATGGATTTGATACCAAAATGCAAATTACATGCAATGGTTGTTTTAACATTATTGATTAATTGAAATTGCTTATTGACTTGGGTGTTTTCCCATAACTATGTAGCAAAAATCGTTATTTCTGGTATCATTTGCCCTTATTTGTAAGGCATACTGCATAGAAAAAACATCCTATAAGTCCCTTTTCTCAGGATATTTTAAGAGTTGAAAGAAATCTTGCTATGTTTAAGATTTGTCATCAACTTCCTATTTTAAAAAAAATTTATTATTTTTATTTTATGTGTATGCGTGTATTGCCTGCATGTAGGTAAGTGCACCCGTGTTGTGCAGTGCCCGAGTAGGTCAGAAGAGGCTGTTGGATCCCCTGGGACTGGAGTTATGGGCAGTTGCTAGCTGCCATGTGGGTGTTGGGATTTGAACCCAGGTCTTCTGCAAGAACAACCAGTGTTCTTAACTGCTGAGCCATCATCTCTCCAGCCCCAACTTCATATTCTTATACTTCCCCAAACCCTATGTACAAATACCAAAAGTTTTATAGTTTTTCTTACCCTGTTCCAAACATGTTTTAATTCCCTAATCAGCTCATGGGCTACTTTATTCCTGAAGTATTCCTGAAATGGCAGATTTGATGTTTTGAAAGTTATATTTTATTTGAAACTAATAAGAGACTTTCTGGGAACATATTGAGTGAGTTTTAAATTGTGAAGGGAATATTTTTCACTATGAATTGTTTCATTTTAGAAGATGTTTATTTTAATGTATAAGTGAAATAGGTTTTCTTTTCTCTGAAAGATTTTATAGAGAAAGTTGGTTTTTTTCCCCAGCAAATCATATTACTGCTAATTTTAGAGGAATGACAATTTTAGTTTAAATGGACTTAAAAAATTTTGAAGTCTAAATACTTAAAAATGTTGGTTCAACAAACACTTATCCATTCACCTCTCCCTTAGATAGTCCCCTTAGGGTTAGAAGCTCTGCTCCCCAGGTTTTCAGCAGTGGTCTCAGATAATGAAAAGCCCTTGACCATTTATAACTGAATATAGCTTCTTCCCATACCTGGTAACTTGCAAAACTGTAGGTGAGCAGATGAGGCTGGTTTGGTTGGATGCTGCAGCTTGTCTCCAAAGCAGATACTTCCTGGAGTAGACAACAGTCACTTAGGTGAATGCACTTCCCAGTAGAGACAACAAAGTCACTTTGGTGAATGCAACTGTGAATTTAGGTGAATGCACTTCCCAGTATAGACAATAGAGTCACTTAGGTGAATGCAATTGTGCATTCAAAGCACCCTACAGGCTTCCATCCCATCCCAATCAGGTATGAGCCCAGGGGCCCAGGTGTAAAGGCTGATATTAAAGTGTTGGGCTTTCCATTTTTCTCTCCCTGCACTTAGGGTCTTAGGCTGACAGACTGATTGATCTGCTTGGTTCTTGTTCTTTCACACAATATGTTTTTTTTTTTTTTTTTTTTTTTACATAGAGTCTTACTCTATAGTCTTGGTTGGCCTGAAACTTGTTACTTAGATCAGGCTGGCCTTAAACTTATAGTGATCCTCCTGCCTCTGTGTCCTGAATGGTGAGATTGTGGATCTGTGCCTCCATGCCCAGCTGTGATTTACTCTTTCAACGATTTTATTTTTATTTTTTGGTCTTTTTGAGACAGGATCTCCCTGTAGCATCAGCTGGCCTGGAACTTGCTATGCAGACCAGGCTGGCCTTGAACTCACAGAGATCCTGCTGCCTCTGCCTCCTGGGTGCTGGGATTAAAGGCTTGTGCCATCATGCTCAGCTTATTTTTATTTTTTTTAAGATTTATTTTTATTTTTAATTATGTGTATGTGTGAGTGTTGGTGCCCTCAGATGCCAGTTGGATCTCTCTGGAGCTGGAGTTACATGCAGTTGTGAGCCACCTGGTATGGGTTCTGGGAATTGAACTTTGGGTCCTCTGGAAGAACAGTAAGTGATTTTAATGCTGATTTCTTTCTCTAGCCCCTTATTTTTTAATTATACATATATGCGTGTCTATATATGGGTTTGTGCACATAAGAGCAGTCAGTGCCAGAAGAGGTTGTTGGATCTCCTGGAACTGTAGTTACAGGTGGTTGTAAACCACCCATTGTGAGTGCTAGGAACCAAACTGTAGTCCTCTCTAAAAAGTAGGTTGTGATCTTAACTGCTGAGCTCTCCCTCCAGCCTCATTAAGACCAATTCTTAGCCGGGGTGGCAGTAGATGCTTGTAGTCTCCCACTAGAGAGATTTAGGTAGGAGGAGTTTAGTTCAAGACCAGCCTGTGCCATGTAATAAATTCAAGGCCAGCCTAACCAAATAGTATGACCCTGCCTCACCCTATATCCCTCTCAGAAAAATCACAAAACTTTGTATATGTGTGTGTGTGTGTGTGTGTGTGTGTGTGTGTGCACGTGTGCATTCTTTTTATCATGGCATAACCCAGACAGACGTGATTAGGCTGGGGCTTTGGGTTGGGTTCTGATCCCATTTCTTCCACTTTGGTTTATCTGGAAATGGAAATAAAATTCTTTGATATAAGGATTAGGTGATTCCCCTAGCCTACCCTATGTTTCTCAGTGGCACCATCTAAGTGACATCTCATTTGTTTGTTTGTTTATTTGTTTTCTTACTAAAAATAATATATGCTCATGCTATGTTGGGAGAATAGACCTACTCATCCCATTTGGGATAATAACATTTCAGTGCCTTTCTATTTTTTTAAAATATTTTTATTTTATTTTATGCGTACAAGTGTATTGCCTGCATGTATGTGAGTGCACCCATGTCATACAATGCTGCAGAGGTCAGAAGAGAGTGTCGGAGTCCCCTGGAACTGGAGTTAAGGACGGTTCTTAGCCGCCATGTGGGTGCTGGGAATTGAACCCCGATCCTCTGCTAGAGCAGTCAGTGCTCTTAACCACTGAGCCATCTATCTCTCCGTGCCTTTCTATTTTTGTGTGAGTGTATGCATACAGCATAAACATAAGCTTAGAATCCTGCTGGTAAAAGTTGTGTGTACTTTATACCAGTTCAAAATTTGGGTTTTGAAGTTCTAGCTATGTGATATTGGATAATTAAAATTAATCTTTTTTTTTTTGGTCTTTTTGAGACAGGGTCTCCCTGTAGCCCCAGATGTCCTGGAACTCAATATGTAGACCAGGCTGGCCTTGAACTCACAGAGATCCGCCTGCCTCTGCCTCCCAAGTGCTGGGATTAAAGGCATGCGCCACCACGCTTGGCCCAAAATAAATCTTTTTTCAAAAATTAAGGATGGAAAAATATTAAGAAAGGTATGTGGGGTGGGGGCACTGAAGAGATGGCTTAGTGGTTAAGAACATTTCTTGCTCTTCTAGAGGACCCCCAAGTTTTGTTTCCAGCACCCACATTTGGTGGTTCACAATTGCCTGTAATTCCAGCTCTAGGGAATTGAATACCCTCTTCCAGACTCTGAGAGCACCTACACACCTGCACTAAGCATGTACACACACACAAACACACATGGACACACAATTAAAAATAGTGGCACTGACTCACTGGTTAAGCGCTCCTTTTGCTCTTGTAGAGGACTCCTGTTCACATTAGGTATCATAACTGCCTGTAACTCCAGCTCCAAGGGACCTCATGCCTCTGGCCGCCTCATGCACGTAATTAAAAAATTTTTTTTTTAATCTTAGGAACATGAGGCTGGAGAGATGGCTCAGTGGTTAAGAGCACTGACTGCTCTTGCAGAGGACCCGGGTTCGATTCCCAGCACCCACATGGCGGCTATGAACCGTCCTTAATTCCAGTTCCAGGGGAATCCGATGCCCTCTTCTGACCTCCGCGGCATTGCACGACACGGGTGTACTCACATACATGCAGGCGATACACTCCTACACATAAAATAAAAATAATATTTTAAATCTTAGGAGTGCTTGTTTTATAGGCATGAACTATCTTTTATGGGGTGCTGCAGATGGACCCAGGGTTTCCTGCATGTGAGTGTTCTACCAACCAACCAAGTTACACCTTTATCCCCTCTCTGTCAAAGAGTTTCAGTCAGGTGGAAAAGAAAAAATATTTACAACATTGACAGTAAGGAATGGGGTAGCCTGGAGGTAGGAAACCTATTTTTCTACTTGGCCTGGGGAGGCCTTTGCTGTGGCGATTTCTGTTCTAAGCAAATGGGAGGAGTTAGGTATTCCAGTAGGTGGGACCTGCAAGTATGAATAACCACCTTGGGACAAAAGTCTTCTGTGTTGCAAATTGTGGTTCTCATGTGGCCTTGGATTTGGGGGAGTAGCCGGAGACAAGTCCTCCCTCCTTTGGATCAGCCAGTTTCTTTGCTAGGATAAGGGAAATAGATTTCTTTTAAATTTAAGCCAACACTCAAGGTCTTTGGTCAAATAAGTTGCTTATAATATAGAGGATTAGAGTTAGGTAAAGAGTAGAATAAAGAAGAGTAAGACTGGAGTTAGACCGGTGAGGCAGCCGAGAGGCAAACGCAGAGGTTTGAACTAAGATGGGAAAGTCAGAAGGTAAGTGGGCTACATAGTGTGGCTGGATGTCATCGGGAGACAGCAAAGGGCAGCTGAAATGGTAGAAGCAAGAGATTGATTTAGTCAGTGATTCTTGGGATAATGAAAATGGATTCATGTATACCAATGAATTGTACATTTGATTTGAAACCTGGGTAATAACAAAACTCGTAATTTTTTCTTTTTTGAGTCTCAAGGTAGCCTCATACTTGTAGCAATCCTCCTGCACTCTGCCCATATTTCCCTCCCTCCCTCCCTCTCTCCCTCTATCCCTCTCTCCTTCCTTCCCTCCCTCCCTTCCCTTCGTTTTTTTGGCCTGGAATTGATCTTGTGGCCCAGAGTGGCCTCTAATTCATGGCAATCTGCCTGCCTCAGCTTCCCAAGAGTTGGGTATTCAGGTGTGAGTCACCAAGCCCTCTGATCTGCTTTTTTTTTTTCTCTTTTTTTAATGGAGTAACTTGCTGGAACTTGTTTACAGCCAAGCCTTTGAATGAGTGGTTAAAATCTGCCCCTGGTCTACTGCCCCTCCTATAAGGCATTTCATCTTACCCCTCTAATAAAATAAGATGGAGAGAACCTAGGGCAGCATGGAGGCAAGGAAAAGGAGGCCAGTGATGGAGGGCCCACAGGAGAGAGTCTCAGGAGAAAGTGGTCCACAGTGCTGCTGAGAAATCAAGAGAAAGGGAAGAGTGGATGGCATTTTGTGAAAAAAAGAGGCCATTAGTTTCAGATTCTTAGAACAGAAGTATTTGAGTTTAGCCACAACTAACTTTTCCTCCTTTCTAGTCCTACAATGTACGATTTCTGTAACACTAGAGACCGACGTGGATAGGAATTTTTAAAGCATTTGTCGTAAAGAATTATTAACTGGAGCTAATAATATTCTAACCACATCAGCCAAACAACTGTGTTACTGGGGATCAAACCTTGGGCCTTGCATGTGCTAGGAAAGAAGGCCTCTACCACCAGCACTGTAGCCCCTAACACTGTTCTGTTAGTATTTTCCATCACAAGAAAATCAATATGTAAACGGTCTTTAAAAATGTAGAAATCTGCTGGGCGTGGTGGCGTAAGCCTTTAGTCCCAGCACAGGCAGAGGCTGGTGGATTTTTGTAAGTTCCAGACCAGCTGGGGCTACAGGGAGCCCATCTCAAAAAGCGACCCCCTCCCTTAAAAAGTAGAAATCATTTAAAAATGTAGACTTTTAATATGGATCACAGGAAATCTCAGTGGATTCTGTATCTCTAGCTCTAAGAAAGCAGGAGGGCCTGAAATGGAAAATTTCATTTTATCATTCAGAAAACCACTAGCAGCTGGAGAGGGCATTTCAGCTCTGAAGATTTGAGATTAAAATGATAGTACTAATAAACTACTATTTACTGTCTAATAGTAGTTAACACCAAGTGATTACTATGTGCTGGGTACCATGCTAAGCACGGTTCTTGAAATACCTAATTTAATTCTCCTAAGCAACTCAATAAGGTACATACAATTATCTTCCCTTTACAGATGAGAAAATTGGCCAGATTTGAGCCCCATCCTGATTCCTCCCAGAGCCTATGAGTGATCTTTACTGCTGCATCCTTAGTTTTTCTAATAAATGAGGTAAGGCTGGTGTAAAAGCCATTTCATTAATTTAAATTCATAATGTCTTTTTCTTCGAGTAGTCTTTGGTACATAGCAGGTATTTGATAAGTATTTATTTTATTTTTTAAATATTCCAGTTTGGAACTTTATTGTTTATATTTTTAGGACGTAGGCAGTTTCTGTTTGTTTTTGAAACAGGGTCTCCCTATAGTCCCAACTAACTTGGAATCGCTTTATAGACCAGGCTGCCCTTAAACTTACGGAGATCACCCACCCTCCCTTCTGAGTGCTGGGATTAAAATCATGCTCTGCTATGCCTGGCTTCTTATGTTTTCTTTTTCAGTCATGTTGATGTATTTTCGTTAGTTAAATTTTACTACTTTTTGTATTAATATGTGGATGTTAGATTTTAAAACTTGTATAGTTTATTTAACTAGATTTACTTTTTTTCTTGATCAAGTTGAATTCAAACTCTTAAAAGATAAAATAGAAGAAAACCTTAAAGCTTAAAGCCTTAAGTATGAGACTGTGATTTTAACAGTAACTGCGCCTGGGATAAGTGTGAATATTCTTTTCACTACATTGACTATATTTGAAAACTGACGTTCTGCATTCACTATTTAAAATACTGGTGTGTTGTTAGGTCTGTGCTCTAAAGGGGTAGGATAGAAAATTACAGTGGCAATTAGAGAAAGATGTCGTGGCAGTGAAGTGAGCATGCTTCTGAAACAGGAGAATTAGAGGAACAGTAACGACATACAGAGCTCCACATGGGTGATGGAGTGGCCCAAAGAGACTCATGTTCACGTTTTGTCAGACTGTTTGGTGCTTGTTTTGCGCTGAAAGCTGTGCTGCTTTTCGCATCTCCCTTCTTGCTGTAGCTTCCTTTTCCCTCTGTATTTACGAAAAGGAAAAAACTATGAACCAAATTGTTTTATTTTGCAATAATCTCAGAATATAGTATCAAGGAGGACTTTCTGTGTTGTTTTGAGACAGGGTCACTGTGTAGCCTAGGCTGGCCTAGAGCTCACTTATATAGCCCAGGCTGGCCTTTGAACTTGCTGTGATTCTCATGTCTCTGCCTCTTGAGTACTGGAATTACAAGTTTGCACCAGCATGCCTGGCAACATAAAAAACCCAAATATTTTACATCCAATCATATTTACCACTTTTGAGTGTATGGATGTGTTTGTTGTGGAAAAACTTTTTGTGGAATGTAAATATTGTCTATTTTCAGTACAGCTATTTCTGCATTTTGTAATAACGAAGAGTGTGTATTTTGCTGTTAATCTGAAGTGCTTAATTACCTGCATTCTTTTCTTGAAGGGAGGAGAGATCCCTTTAAATTTTCTTTTTAATTCAAATTAATTTTTATTATTTTTTTTAACATATGGAACACTTTATGAATTTGGGTGTTATCCTTGCTCAGGGGCCTTGCAATCTTCTCTGCATTGTTCTGATTTTAGTATATATGCTGCCAAAGTGAGCTTTTTTTTTTTTGAGATAGGGTCTCACAATGTATCCCTAACTGGCCTGGAACTTGCTATGCAGACCAGAGCTGCCTCAAATCACAGGATCCCTTTCAATTTTAGTCAAGTTGTCTTATAGCTACAGATGATAGCTACTAACAATTGTCTGTTACTCTAGTTCCAGGGGATTCAATGCCTTCTTGTGGCCTCCTTGGGCATTGTTTGCACAAGTGCACTTACATACATTCAGGCAAAACACTCATATACATTAAAAATTTTTTAAATTAAAAATAAAGATGATAGATGCTATAACTTAATTTGCTGTGGTGATATTTATTTATTGAGACAAAATCTAATGTAGCCCAAGAATTCCTCCAACTTGCGGTATACACTGCTGGCCTTAAACTCCTCATCCACCTGCCTGCACTTTCCAAATTATTTAATGATCAGCAGTACATGTAGTAACCTTTGGGTAGAACAACCTGGAATTAAGAGTTAATTTTTGTAGGCTCGAGAGGTGGCTCAGTGGCTGAAGGCTCTATGTGCTGAGCCTGAGGACCTGAGTTCAGTCCCCAGGACCCAGATAGTGGAAGGAGAGAACAGACTCCAGAAAGTTGCCCTCAGGCCTCCACCTGGTTGTGGTGGACACAAACACAAATGTAATAAAAAAAATTTAAGGCTGCTATTTGTTTAGATTGTTTAGATTAATTGCATTTCATTTAAGAATCTGTGGGACTGGAGAGATAGCTCAGTGGTCAAGAGTACATACTGCTCTTACAGAGGACCTGAGTTCAGTACCCATGTGGAGTAGCTGACAGCTGCTATAACTTCAGCTTTAGGGTGTCCAATGCCTCTGGTTTCCACTTGCGCTTGCACTCATATACACCCCCCCCACAAGTATACATAATTAAAGATAAGAAAAATGGGGGCTGGAGAGATGGTTCAGTGGTTAAGAGCACTTATTGCTCTTCCAGAGGACCTGGGTTCAGTTTCCAGCACCCACATAGCAGCTGACATCCATCCTTAACTCCAGTTCCAGGGGATCCAATGCCCTCTTCTAGTTTTGCTACACTAGGCACACATGTGTTATGCTTACATACATGCAGGCAAAACACTCATACACATAAAATAATAAAATATAATCTTCCTTAAAAAAATAAAAATCGTGTATTGGGGGCCAGGAAGCTGTTGTAGCAGGTACAAACCTGATGACCTGAATTCAGATCCCTGGAACCATGTTAAAGCTGAATGTGGTGATGTATGTCTGTATCCCAGCTCTCCTATAGTGAGATGGAAGATGAAGACTGGAGACTCCCCCCAGAAGCTTGTGGGCCAGCTAGCCTGGAGGACAAAGTGCTATAGAAGGCAAGGGCTGTCATCAGAGATATCTGACCTCCACATGTTCACCATGGCATGTGTATGCTCTGTCACACAGAAATATGTACACACTCACATACAGACACAAGAAAAAATACATTGTTTTAAAAAGAAGTATGTATTGAGGGGTGTGGTGGCGCACGCCTTTAATCCCAGCACTCGGGAGGCAGAGGCAAGTGGATCTCTGTGAGTTCAAGGCCAGCCTGGTCTACATAGCGAGTTCCAGGAGAGCTGGGGCTATAGGGAGACCCTATCTCAAAAAAGACCAAAAAAAAAAAAAAAAAAAGAAGTATGTATTAAGCATACACTAATTGAGTGCATATTAACTCCTGTGCTAAGCCCAAGAATCTAATAATATTTAGAAAACTGTTGATCCCTCTGGGAGCTTATTTTCTAAGAAGGAAGATAGCAGAAGCCCAGGAAGCCAAAACAATGTGATGTGTACCCAAACAGAAGTGTACACAAGCACCAGAGGAGTGTGAAATGAACTCAGTTTTTGGGAATTGGTGTGTGGTGGTATGGTGTCCCCCCACCCTTTCTCTCTCTCTCTGATTTTTTTGAAACAGGGTTTCCCTGTATCCACAGCTAGATAGGAACTCACTATGTAGATCAGGCTGACCTTGATCTTACAGAGATCTACCTGCCTCTGCCTCTCATGTTCTGGAACTAAAGGTTTGCGCCTCCATGCCTGGACCCTGAACTGTATTTTTAAAGACTAGACTAGGGCTGACCCTCTGGGGGCCACTAAACAGAAAAGAAGGGGAAGAGGTTCATTACACTGGGCAGATGGAGCAGTCTGGTTTTGGTCCTAGTGTGAACCTGAGGTGTCCAGAACAGTACGCTACACCCCCATTATTCCATTCCTTTCTTTTGAAAGCATTTCATTTGTAGATTATAATATTCTAAGGGCAGAAATTACACCTCTTATTGTTACAGACTTCACAGCTCCTGGAGAAATGATGTCCTTTTCATAAGTGTTTTTAGTAAGCAAATTCTTGCCATTAAATGTAAAATCATATGAATTTCTTTAAAATTCATGCTGATTATTTAAAATTAGGAAATAGCCAGGCATGGTGTCATACACTGTAGTCACAGCTCTTGGAAAGTAAGGAAGAGGAGCAGAAATTCAAGATCATCCCTGGCTACATAGAGTTCCAGGCCAGCCTGGGCTTTGTGAGACCCCCACAAAAGCAAAATAAAACAATATGGAGCTGGAAAATTGATAGTTATTGTAAAGTAATTGCATTGTAAACAAATTACATGATAAATGTTTTATGATTTTATTGTGGGGTATTAAAATTTTTAGTAATTATATTTGTGGTGTGTGTGTGTGTGTGTGTGTGTGTGTGTGTGTGTGTGCATGCACACGACATAGCTTATGTGTGGAGGTCAGAGGATAGCATGAGTTGATTCTCTTTTTCCACCATGTGGTCCCTGAACTTAGGTTGTCACCTTTACCCACTGAGCCATCTCACTGGCCCTATTAGGGAATATTTTACTACACAGAGTTTTAAAGGCTATTTCTGGTTATTTCTGGTAGTGCACTTAAAGCTCTGTTCTCCTCCTCTAAACCAACTAAGACATCAGTAATGACTGCCACTACCTAGTAGTCAGATTATGTGGATTAGTGCTCTGAAGTGCAGTGAACTTGAACTGGGATGAGAAGATGCTGAGAGTGATTCCTCTTTAATTAAGGCACAGTGAGGGTAAAATCAGTAGACCACATGCCTGCAATGGCAAGATTCAGTCTCTGTGTTGGGCTTTCAGAGTGGCAGGAAGATGGGGCTGAATCATAAACCATAGTCCCTCCTTTTTTGGGAATTTCAGAGTGGATGAGACAGTGACAGGAAGGAGCTTATAGCTGCTCAATTTTTGTCAACTGAGGAGAAATTAAACCTATATTCCCATCCTCAACCTATGCCGTGCATGTACCTGTGGAAACTAATTAGTCTAGCATGGAATCATGTCTCAGGGGAAGAGGATTTGTGATGAGTATTTCCAGAAACAGCCGAAAGGTGAAAATTGTGATCAAATAGTTCACTCCGGTAGGAGGTGGAGGTGAGCAATTAGAGGAAAAATGAGGTAAAGAGCTGAAGGAATAATAGTACAACAGAAGGGGATAATGGTGGCCAAGGGTTCACAGTAAAAGAAAATGTGGTCATAGTAGAAAAGAAGGCCACTTTCAATGTAATGGATAAGTGCGGGGGATAAACTTAAGAGTAAATAAAGAAAACTTAAGGAAGACTAGAGAGCCAGGTATGATGGCTCAAGTTTGTAATCCTATACCTTGGGAGGCAGAGGCAGGAGGATTGCCTTGAGTATGAGGCAGTCTCTGTGCTACATAGTTCAGGCTAGCCTAGGGAGACAGTGATAAGTGGGGAGTATAGTAAACCTAGGAGACTAATAATTGAGGATATTAGCTGAATAAATGAAGCAGAATTCCCCCCCACGCCCCCACCCGGACTGGGCCTCACTACCAGGGAGCCAAGACTGACCTTGGCTCCCAGCAGCCCTCCTATCACCCTCCTTAGAGCTGGGATTACAGGCCAGCACCACCACACCCGGCTGAAAAAGTTTTCAAAAGAAGTGGGGTGTGGTGGCTCAGGCTTGTAAAATCCTAGCACTCAAGAGGATCACCTTGAGTTTGAGTCCAGACTTGGCTCCATAGCAAGATACTGTCCCCCAAAATGAAAAAGAGAACCAACTACCCAACCAACAACCAAACAAATTGCCTTGCATATTCCTTTAACCCTGCTCTCAGACTTCTCCTATGATTTAGAAATCTGTGTAGACATGCAGGTTTATTTTATTTTTATTTCTTTTTTTTTTCAAGACAGGGTCTCCCTGTAGCCCCAGCTGGCCTGGAACTCACTGTGTAGAACTCACTGGTCTCAATCTCACAGAGATTGGTTTGCCTCTGCCTCCTGAGTGCTGGGATTGAAGATGTGAGCCACCATGCCCAGCTTTGGTTTATTTTTTTTTTCCATATAGTCAAACTAATGTTGTAAATGACTTTAATTTTTATTTATCTTTCTCTGCTGTGTATGTATGTTTGCATACCCACATACACATGTTCATGTGAGTGAAGGCAGGCACCTGCTCCAGGTATGTGTGGTCAGAGGACAACCTCAGGTGTCAGTCCTCATCTTCCACCTTATTTGAAACAGAGTCTTTTTTGTGAACTGTTGTATTTGCCAGGCCAGCTAGCCCGAGAGCATCAGGGAATTCTCCTGCTTCTGTTTCCCATATCCCTGAAGGAGTGCTGGGATTATATACGTGTGCTACCGAGTCTGGCTTTATGTGGGTGCTGGGAATTTGAACTTAGATCCCCACACCTGTGTAGCAGGTGCTTTACATTCTTAGCCATCTCCCCAGCCCTGTAAATAACCTTTTAAACTTATATGCATGGTACTTAAAAAATTTACTTATCGTGTGTGTGTGTGTGGTGGGGACGTATGTATGTTATGTGCTCGTGCCTGTGTGTGCATGCCACGGCACAGGTGTGGAAATCAGAGGACAGCTTGTAGGAGTCAGTTCTTTCCTTCTACCCTTTGAGTCCAGGATGGAACTCAGGTCCTCAGGCATGGTGACAAGCATCCTTTACCTGAGCCATCTTGCTGGCCTCAAGGGTGTTTATTTTTATTTTTTGGGGGGTCTTTTTGAGACAGGATCTCCCTGTAGCCCCAGCTGTCCTGGAACTCACTATGTAGACCAGGCTGGCCTTGAACGCACAGAGATCCGTCTGCCTCTGCCTCAAGAGTGCTGGGATTAAAGGCATGCGTCATCACGCCCGGCCAAAGGTGTTTATTTTTAACAGATCTTCAAATAGATTTACTTGAATTAATTTTGTGAAAGATGTAGTGGTTGTTGAGTAGATGAGTGACAGAGAATGTAAAGTTAAAAGCATCCACGGGTTCGCTTTGACATGTATCCTGTCCTAAATATCCAGACTTTTTGGTCAGCTAGAATTTTTTGTTTGTTTTGTGATAGGGCCTCCTATATGCCAGGATATCCTCTAACTGGCAAAGTAGTCAAGGCTGATCTTGAACTTCTGATCCTCCTACCTCCCGAGTGCTGGGATTAAAGGTTTTCGCCACTATATCCAGGGTTATGCAGTGCTGGGTATGGAACCCAGGGGCTTGTGCAAAGCATTCTACCAACTGAGCCCCAGCCCCCAGATTGATTTCCTCTCCCTTCCCCTCCCCTTTTTCTTTCCCCTTTTCCTTCTTCACCTCCTCCCCTCCCCTTGCCTCTTTTCCTCTCCTTATTTTTTCATTCTTTCTTTTCTTTTACTTTGCTAGGGATTGAACCCAAGGTCTTCCATGCACTAGGTGACCAGTCAACAATTGGTCCCCATCCCCAGCCTAGGGTCAGCTAAATTTAAATTTTAGTTCAATTTTTCTTTCTTTTATCCTAATAAGGTAAAATGAGTAATTGCTTTGCATTTATGTGTGGTTAGGTTTATTTAGTAGTAAATGTCATTTTTAAAGATTAAGTATGCTACTATTTCAGGGGTTTTCTTTGTGTTTATCAAGTCTGAGACCTCAGCTTCATGAACTTGGTTCAGTTTGTTGTTACAGATATGCTACACCTTGTCCTTCTGTATGTACAAAGCTAGTGAATGCTGTGCTTCTCAAAGAGAATATAGAGTCTTGGTATCACTGGCAGGTGGAAATCTAGTAATACCAACATTTAGGAATAACTTCCATTTTCCAGAGCTTGCCGTATGCTAGTCATGGTCCTTGGTGTATTTCCTGTATCATCATTGGATCCTTAGAACAACTTGGTGGTGACATAACTGTTAACCCTGTTTTGCAGGTGAGAAAACAGATTCAGTGAGTTTAAATGATTTGTTCAAGATAACAGGTAAGTGGCAGATTTTGAACTTGAACAGCCATATCTTTTGGCTTCTCAAGCATTTATGTACCTTGTGATTCATTGGTATAAGGAATTTCATATTCGATCTTTCTTCCCTCCCTCCTTCCTTCCCTCCTTCTCCCTCTTCCCTTTTCTGTGGTGCTAGGTTTTGAACCCTGGGCTTTGTACATGCTGAGCATGTGCTCTGTTCTGTATACCTCCACCCTCATCAAATTTCTTCTTTTTCTTTTTCTTTTTCTTTTTCTTTTTCTTTTTTTTTTGGAGACAGAGTGTTATGACCTTGAACTTCTGATTCTCCTGTCTCTGTCCACACATCCACAAGTGCTGAGATTATAGGCCCAGGCCTGCAGATTATAAGCATACGTCATTTATGCTAGTTTTTATGCATTGCTAGGGATTGAACCTAATGCTTTACTCTCTCAGTGGAGCTACAGCTCAGTCTCTGAACCCAGTTTCTTTTTAGTTTCTTTTTTATTTATTTTTGAAACAGGGTCTCCTTGTAGCCCTAGCTGACCTGGAACTCATTATGTAGACCAGGCTGGCCTTGAATTCACAGAGATCCGGCCTGCCTCTGCCTCCTAAATGCTAGGATTAAATGCTTGCGCCACCACCACGCCCAGCTTGAACTCAAGTTTCTTAAAGGATGGGCTGTTTCTTGACTTTTTCAGAAACTGGGTGTCTGTGCTGTTTCTTTTACCATATGGGTGACTTTGGGAGGGAGTGGAGGCTTTTTCAGCTCATGGAGACCCAGATTTCACAAAATAGTTTCAGTTTGTTGTTATACATTTAATGGTGTATCTAAATGCAATGTTTAATCTTTTTTGTGTATACACAGCTAGTGAATATTGTGTAATTTCTTTTCTTTTTCTTAAGGAATCTTGGGTCAAAAGATCTAAACCATGATTTTGTGATAAGGAGCACCACCCCCAGCTTGTTTTTGGTTTTTGAGACTGTGTCTCCCTATAGTCCTTGGCTGACCTGGAACTTACTGAGTAGGTCAGACTGGCCTTGCTCTCACAGAGATCCACCTGCCTCTGCCTCCTGAGTGTTGGGATTAAAGGCAAGCACCAGTATACCTGACTTTTTTTAAAATTTAAATTTAAACTTATGTGTGTATATGCGTGCTATGGCATGTGTGTGGAGGTCAGAGGACAACTCTGCAATCAGTACTTTCCCTCTACCTTTATGTGGTTCTGTGGATTGAACTCAGGTTACTGGGCTTGCACAGCAAGTGTGTGTACGTTAGTATACATGTGCATGCCATGATTCGAACGTGGAGGTCAGAGGACAGTTTTTGGGAATCATTTTTCTCCTTCTACCACGTGGGTCTAGAAGATTGAACTCAGATCATCAAGCTTGGCAATAAGTGCCTTTCCCCAATGAGCCATCTTGTGTTTTTTTTTTTTTTTAATAGAGTCTTCCTATGTACCCCTGGATGGCTAGAACCTGCTAAATACAACAGGCTAGCCTTGAACTCAAAGCAGCTCTCCTGCTTTAGCTTCCCAACTGCTGGGATTATAGGCATATGGTATCATACCCAGAATAATTCTGTATTTCATAGAAACATTTGTTACAGATTGCCAGGTAGTTTGTCAACATAACCAAAAATATAGATTTATTTATTTTTGTTTTATGTATATGTGTTTTGCCTGCATGTGTGTAAATGTACCATGTGTGTGCAATGCCTAGAGGGTGTAGGATCCCCTGGAACCAGAGTTACAGATGGCTGCTAGCCACCATGTGGGTGCTGGGAAGCAAACCCTGGTCCTCTGTAAAAGCAATCATTTCTCCAGCCACTAGAATTGTTTTTTTGTTGTTATTGTTTCAGTTTTTTGAATATTGAGGCAGAGTCTCATATATCCCTGGCTGGCTCAGACGTAGTGTGGAGGGTGACCTTGAGTTCCTGATCCTCCTACCTCCCAAGTGCTGGGATCAGTGGCCACACCAGTAGTAATGCTAACAGCTTCATACTGTAACATTCACATTGTGGAAGAGCTCGTCACAGCATGTAGAGAGTGCGTGTGATTGGGTTCAGCTTTTTTTTTTTTTCCTTCGGTCTTTTTGAGACAAGGTCTCACTCTAGCCCCAGCTGGCATGGAACTTGCTATGTAGACCAGGCTGGCCTCGAACTCACAGAGATCCACCTGCCTCTGCCTTCTGAGTGCTGGGATTAAAGGCGTGCGCCACCACACCAGGCCAGATCCAGTTTGTAAAAGCCCCCTTTTTTCTCTTGGATCTCATCACTGGGATATTAGATTATGAGTCTACCACAGTAGGAAGGGTGACATTGAATACCTTGTGTTCTGGTGAACTGGCTTTGCTGATTTCTGTTTGTTAACAAGGCCTTTGATATTTTTGTAGACGATCTACTTCCTCTTGATTGAGCAGCGTTCCAAATTGTGGTATCCTTGGGGTTCTCTTCACAGTGCTGCGGTACAGAAGATTTAAAATCAGGTATGGCAGAGAGGCCAGAAGTTCCTCAGTGAAATTCTCAACTTGAATCTGCCTTGCGCTCTTCTGATTTGTTTATCATTTGGGTTTCTTTGTTTTTGTGGTGGCCTTTTAGCTGATGTTCACAAGGAATAGAGTCACGTGATGTATGAAGGGAAACATATACACTTCTCTGAGGTTGACAATAAGCCCTTGTGCTCATATAGCCCCAAACTGTGCAAGCAGCGGCGACTCAACGGCTACGCTTTCTGTATCAGACACGTTCTGGAAGACAAGACTGCCCCCTTCAAGCAATGTGAATATGTGGCCAAGTACAACAGCCAACGCTGTACCAACCCCATTCCCAAATCCGAGGATCGTAGGTAAGAGCCGCCCCTGCTTTCCCTAGTAGGCTTGGATCCTTTCCTTGCCTTTCTTTGATTCTCTGACTCTAAGTGGGGAATTAACACATTGAGTCCTGGACTGTTTGTTCTGAGTAAACTTTGGAATGCATCTGGGGACAAGGGATGGCAGTTTCATTTCAGTGGAGTAGTAAATTTTAGGAGTTATTTAAAAAGTATATTTCGGTGTTTTATTCTTTTATTCATTTCATAGACTTCTAGAATTTTTTCTTTTTAAAAATTTTCCCTGTGGTTGGGCATGGTGGTACACGCCTTTAATCCCAGCACTCAGGAGGCAGAGGCAGGTGGCTCTCTGTTAGTTCAAGGCCAGCCTAGTCTACATAGTGAGTTCCAGGACAGCTGGGGCTATAGGGAGACCTTGTCTCAAAAAGACCAAAAAAAAAAAAAAAAAAATTTTTTTTTCCCCTGAAAATTGCTGCTTGAAATTTCGGTACCATTTGCTGGTTTGTGACCATGCAAAGGAGCTGCTGTTTTCCCCACTTACCATCTTCCAGTGAGAGAAATGATAGGAACTGGTTAAGTGTTATAATCAATATAGATTTGGGTTTTAAAAGCAGCATATACAAAAAAAGGTATAAAACATATGTACCTAATTGAAAAACATTTTGAAATATTATTCAAGTCATTGAGAAGATTTGCTTCCTAACAATGTCTAAGTAGTGCTGTCATTCTTGTCTAGCCTATTTTTGTTTAAAAAGCATTCCAAATGGATTATGAATTCAGATTGTTTTTTCACTTTAAGGATAGATTTTATCACTAAAATTGTGAATTTATAAAAACATGAAGTTATTTTTTAAAAAATGGGTTATACATTGTCTTTACATTCTTAGGAAAAGTAATACTTTTACATATAGTCTTTCATGTTTCTTTTTCCTTAATTCTCCAGAACTCTTTTTGATATTCTGGAAATCTGAAGATATGAATGCTTATTTTTCAAATGTTTTGCATACTTACCTATCTTTAGGTAGAAAACTTGAACCTTCTATCCTACAAAATACACACACCCCTAGTCCGTGCTCCTTTAAGTAAGCAAATGCTGCCTGCATAAATTGGCTGAAAAAGAGTCATGGTTTCTTGTGTTTCTTTTTTTTTTTTTTTTTTTTTTTCCCACGGTGAGTATTTTTCTCTTTCAGTGTGAAATAAATAATTTGTGTAGGTAGAGATCCAACCAAAATGAATACATAGAATGTGGTGATTTGGGGATACTCTTTCAGAATTTCTAATGAGCACTTAAGGCTTCAGATTACAGTACCTGAACATTAGAAACAGCTGCTTAGTGAGGCAAGGAATAAAAATTTAATCTCAGGTGTGAAAGGGACCGTATATTAGGTTAAGTGTGTCTGTCTGGTTAGTTTTAAAAGACTGAAAATGATCATTTATTACCCTTTGCCTCTTAATGCAAAGAATTGCTAAGCTTGGGTCACTTTCACTTGAAGCTCCACTGTAAACGAACCTCTATAATTTTGCTGTTAGGTGTATCACAGATGCACCTCTCAACCTTGGGCTCTTTTCCCTTTGGACCTAAAGCAAGTATGTCTTAACAGCAAGATCTGAACAGAGTCCTGAATTTCTTTAAAATATTAATTCTCTGAAACATCTGTCTTCACCTTTGTGTTTGAAGTAGTTTCCTCTTTTCAGATCAAGAAGGGGAAGGATTTGTATGTTTCTATGTTGAGACAAGCTAGGTTTAACAAGTACTAAGTTATACATTTTTTTAAAAATTAAAAAAAATTATTATTTTTATTTTGTGTGTATGCATGTATTGCCTGCGTGTAGGTAAGTGCACCCATGTTGTGCAGTGAATTCCCACGGAGGACAGAAGGATCCCCTGGAACTGGAGTTACAGACAGTTGTTAGCTGCCGTGTGGGTCCTGGGATTTGAACCTGGGTCCTCTGCAAGAATAGTCAGTGTTTTTAACCACTGAGCTATCTCTCCAGCCCCTAAGTTGCACATTTTTTTTCAGAATTATTCCATGACTATATGAATGGAAAAAAAAAAATGAATGCAAAGGATTTTTGTTGTTGGTAGGGTTATTTGCAATTCAGTTTAAGTAAAATCAGAAAGAGGTAGTAATATTGTTGTCCTAAGAAATACAAGTTGAAGTAATTTAACAATATGTTGAAACCTGTGTCTAAATGTTAAAGTTATATATTATACAGAAAATATTCACTTGAAAGTAAATACTAATTATTGTTAGTACAATTAGTCTTGGAGCACTTAGATTTGAGATGATTTTATCTATTGTTTTAGAAAACAAGTTTTAACTGACAAAGTTAGCCAGGTACAGTGGCTCACACTCCTGTAGTCCCAGTGCTCTAAAGGCTGAGGCAGGGGGATTGCTGGAAGTTCAAGGTTAGCCTGTGCTACATAGTGAATTTTAGCCATAGCGTGAGAATTTATCTCAAAAAAAACAAGCACGTGGGGGCTGGAGAGATGGCTCAGTGGTTAAGAGCACTGGCTGCTTTTGCAGAGGACCCGAGTTCGATTCCCAGCACCCACATGACGGCTATGAACCGTCCTTAACTCCAGTTCCAGGGGAATCCGAAGTTCTCTTCTGACCTCTGTGGCATTGCATAACATGGGTGCACTCACATACATGCAGGTGATACACTCATACACATAAAATAAAGATAAATGAAAAAAAAGAAAATCCGAGCATGTACACACACACACACACACACACACACACACATACACCTCCAAAACAAAAACAAAACCCTAAAACAAAAAGGACAGTTAATTGGCTGGTCATCAGTTAGAAGAACCAATCAATCTTTCTTATGATCTTTTTTCTTTTTCTTTTCATTTTTACATGTATTTATTTATTTTTTGGGTGGACATGAATCTCTGTCTCTCCTATTCCATGGGTTCCTAGGATTGAACTCAGTCATCAAACTTGGTGGCAAGTGCCTTTACTTAATGAGCCATCTCTCTGCCTTTCTTGCCCCACTTCCTCCCCTCTCCCCTTTTGTAAGACAGGGTCTTAGATAACCCAGGCTAGCCTAGAGCTCACTAAGTAGCTGAGGATGGCCTTGAATTCCTGACCTTCCTGGCTCCACTTCCCAGTGCTGGGTTTTCAGGTCTGTACCACTATGCCCAGTAGAGGAATCTTCTTTTCTTTTTCTTTTAAAACATACTTTATTTTAAATTTCCATTTATTTGTGTGCCATTGTGCATCCTGTGGAGGTCAGAGGAGAACTCATGTAATTCAGTTTTTTTCCTTCCACTATGTGAATTATAGGGATGGAATTCGGTTCCTTAGGCTTGGTGACAAGGGTCGTTGCCTGCTGAGCCATCTTGCTGGTCCTCCTTTTTTTCAATGGCTATTATTAAGACAGGGTATCATTCTGTAGCCCAGGTTGACCTCAAACTTGAGGCCTTCTAGTACTACAGCCTCCCAGAGGCTGGGATTACAAGCATGTGCAACCATGCCTGGCAGGCTCTTCTTAATTTTTAGTTTCTAACTTGTCTGGTGTGTGTGATAAATGCTAAATGCTACCTTATGGGTTTCTACTGCTTTGTAATAGAGCACTGCTGTATTTGGTGGACGCACTGGCAAAGTTCATCTTTTATTTACTTGTACGGTGGGAAGCTGAGGCTCATTAATAGCCTTAGTTTCCTAGTGGTTATATTAAATCAAGTCATTTTATATAATGTTTTAGATTCAAGTTTACTATAATTATATATATTTTTAATAGTACATATCTGCCAGGAAATTTTCTTGTTCCCTGCATGTTCTTTTTAAAAACATCTTAATTAAGCCGGGCATTGTGGTATACACCTTTAATTTCAGCATTTGGGAGGCAGAGACAGGTGGATCTCTGTGAGTTCAAGGCCAGCCTGGTCTACCTAGTGATTTCCAGGCCAGCTGGGGCTACAGGAGGACCCTGTTTCAAAAAGACCAAAAAAAAAAAAAAAAAAAATTCTTAATTAAGATATGATTCCATACCATATAGTTCATCCATATAAAGGTTACTATCTGGTATTTTTCACTATTTTGCCAGATTAAGTAGTCATCACCATGATCTAATTTTAGAACACTTTCATCCTCCCCAAAGAAACTTTGAACCTAATAGCAGTCATTCCTTCTAGATAGAATAGAAATTATGTTTGTATTCTATTTCAAAAATTTTTGTTTTTTAATTTTTAATTATGTGTATGTATGTGTCCATGTGTGGATATATGCACCTGAATGTGGGAATTCATGGAGGCCAGTGGTGTTAGATCCTCTGAGTGGGAGTTAATAAGCGATTGTGAGCCTCATGGTGTGGTGCTGGAAATTGAATTTGGGTCCTCTGGAAGAGCAGTATGTGTTCTTAACTACTGAGCCCAGCATATCTATTTTCTATTTTCCTCTCCAGCCCTGTATATATATTTTCCTTTTTTTTTTTTTTTTTTTTGGGTCTTTTTGAGACAGAGTCTCCCTATAGCCAGCCCCTCCTAGCCTGTAACTTACTATGTAGTCCAGGCTGGCCTTGAACTCACAAGAGATCTGCCTGCCTCTGCCTCCCAAGTGCTAGGATTAAAGGTGTGCGCCAACATGCTGGCTCTGTATACCTATTTTCAGTGTTGTTCATTGCTAAGTAAATGTTCTAGTCCAGTTAGGAAGAATTTTTCTGAAGAGAATCAGGGTTTGGTTTTGTTTTTTTTCTTCCTCATTTACCCTGTGCCTAGGTTGGTCTGGAACTTGTAATTCTGCCTCAGCCTCCTGAATCCTGAGATAACAGATATGAGCCACCTGCACTTAGGAATATGAATATACATACGTATATATTTTGTGTGTATGAGTGTTTTTTGCATGTTATTTAAATCTACCCATGTCAGGCCCTCTTGAGGCCCTGGTTACAGGCAGTTGTTAACTGCCATGTGGGTGCTAGGAACTGAACAAACCTGGGTCCTCTGCAAGAGCAAGTGCTCTTAACCACTGAACCATCTCTCCAGCCCCTATATATAAAATTTTGGTTTTTTGCTTGTGGGGTGTGTGTGTGTGTGTGTATGTATGTTTGTGAGAGAGAGACAGGGTCTCCCTGTAGCCCCAGCTAGCCTGGAAATCACTGTGTGACCAGGCTGGCCTTGAACTCACAGAGAACCGCCTGCCTCTGCCTCCCAATTGCTGGGATTAAAGGCGTGCACCACCACGCCCGGCTTAAATTACATTCTTATTATTGTATGGCCTATACACATGCCACGGCTATGCATGTGTGGAGTTCAGAGAACTTATAGGAGTTGGTTCTGGGGTTTGAATTTAGTTTGTCGGGCCCAGCAAATGACTTTACCAGCTGAACCATCTTACCAGCCCCCAGAACAGGCTTTTTTTTTGGGGGGGGGTGTTCTTTTTGAGACAGGTTCTCCCTGTAGCCCCAGCTGTCCTGGAATTCACTATGTAGACCAAGCTGGCCTTGAACTCATAAAGATCTGCCTGGGATTAAAGGTGTGCACCACCTCGCCCAGCTAGAACAGGCTTTTTTATAAGTACAGATCAATCTTTTCATGAATTGCTGAAGACTTTTTTTTCTTGTATTGAATATTGAGCCCACAGCCTTGCATACTTGAGGCAAGTGCTCTCCAATAAGCTACCCTTCTAGCTCTTTTTTATTTTGAGACAGAATATTACTATGTAGCCTAATTTGTCCACAAATTTGCCATCTTCCTGCCTTTGTATGCTGAGTAACTGGAATTGTATTAGTGTGCCACCATGTCTGGCTACCATTTATCTATTTACTTGTTTGTTTTGATCCTGGGTCTCTAGTAGCCCAAGTTGACCTTGAACTCCCTATACATAGTAGAGGATGACTTTGAATCCTTTGGATCCTCTTGCCTCCACTTCCCAACGTTTGGGATTACAGGTGTGTACCATCATATCCACTGCCATTTACTCTTTTTTCTTTTTGTTTTTGATTTATTTAATTATTTTTATTTTTTTTTTGGTGGGGGGTGTTTTTGAAGCAGGGTCTCCCTGTAGTCTCAGCTGGCCTGGAATTTGCTATGTAGACCAGGCTGGCCTTGAACTCACAGAGATCCACCTGCCTCTGCCTCCCAAATGCTGGGATTAAAGGTGTGAGCCACCACGCTGGGCCAGATTTATTTATTTTTAGCTTAAGTATAGAATGTCTTGCCTGCATGTGTGTAAGTGCACCATGTACCTACAATGCCCATGGAGGCCAGAAGAAGGCATCAAATCCCTTGGAACTGGAGTTAAGGTCAGTTGTTAGCAGCTATGTGGGTGCTGGGAACTGAACCTGGGTCTTCTGCAAGAGCAGTTGGTGCTCTTAACCTCTGAGCCATCTCTCCAGCCCCATTTTTTATTTAAAAACAATTTTTTTTTATTATTTTTATTTTATGTGTATGAGTGTATTGCTTACATGTATGCAAGTGCACCTGTGTTGTGCGTTCCCATAGAGGTCAGAAGAGGGTATTGGATCCCATGGAACTGGAGTTATAGACAGTTATTAGCTGCCATGTGGATGCTGGGAATTGAACCTGAGTCCTTTGCAAGAACCTGAGTCATCTCTCTCGCCATTTATTAATTAATTAACTAATTAATTATTTGGTCTTTTTGAGGCAGGGCCTCCCTATAGCCCCAGTTGGCCTGGAACTCACTATGTAGACCAGGCTGGCCTGGAACTCACAGAGATCTGCTTGCCTCTGCCTCCCAAGTGCTGGAATTAAAGGTGTGTGCCACCACACCCAGCTCTCTCATTTATTCTTTAAAAAATTTTTAAAAAAATTTATCTTTATGAGTGTTTTGACTGCATGTATGTTAGGTGTTCATGTGAGTGCAATGCCTGTAGAGACCAGAGGAGGAGGGCATAAGATCCTCTGGAACTGGAGTTAAAGACAATTGTTAGCTGCCATGTGGGTACTGGAAACTGAACTTGGGTCTTCTGCAAGAGCAGCCAGTGCTCTTAACTACTGAGCCATCTCTCTAGCCTGCTCCCTTCCCCATTTACTTTTTATTAATTTTTAAAACTTCTTATTTACTAGTTATTTCCAATACATCTCTCCTTGCTGCCCTCAATCTTTTGACTCTCTTTTGTGTTAACTATGTATGAATCCAGCTCAGAGCTGCCAGTTGTAATCAGTGCTCTCTGGAAATATCACTTGTTCCCCACAGTAGTGGGTTCCATCTTCAAATAACTTTGGGAAACACTGACAAATGAGTACATCTCCCTCTTGGAACTCCATGATACACATTATTATACATAATTCTCTGAAAACTTTTCAACAGAAACAAGCAACAACAAAACCATTATATAATTTTAGTTAAGCTGTAATTTTCCAAATTGACTTAAGCATGGAATACTGCTTTAATAGCATACTTGTTAACATACTGTGGGAACTGTGTGAGAAGCAGGGATTTGGAGAAGACTATTCTACTGCCCAAACCCTCCACAGGTTTTCAGTACAGTTAATTGGCATAGCAGGTATTTATTTTCTCATGTACAGAGACTGTCCTTTCATAGTATTTAAGTTACAAAAGTAGCCTGCCCATTATTGAAGACCAATGAGGGTCTTTGTGAGCTTTGATTGTAGTTCATGTCTTAACTTGTCACTTTCTACATGGAAAATGGTTTGGGGAAAATTTACTTTTGTAAATGTAGTACAGTTATCTGTATAAAGGGCATTATTTCAGTGCCTACTTCATCTTAGTGCTGGAGGAGATAGTCCATGTTCTTAATCTCTGCTTGTTGAGAAACTCATTCTGTTAACCACTTCCTCCCCTGCCCACCCCCCTTACTCTTGCTCTCTGTAGCATGCAGTAGATACTTGACATTCTTCAGGGTTATGATCTAAGATCTTAATGAATCTTCAGAAAACTTAAGTGACATTGGAACAAACCATTTTTTTCCATAAGAATTTTAGATGATCTTCAGACTTCCAATAGTTATTTTGTATGCGATGAATAGAGAATAAAGCTCTGTGAGACCCACCAAGCTGTTGTCCAAGACCATCTACCAGCTGACCAACCTGCTTCTCTCTGGCCTTCTCTGCACATTAGCAGTTCACATATTTGCCTTATCAAAATTACATAGACCTCAGTTGGGATTGCTTGAGAGTAGTAAGAGTGGTATTTTTGTTGTTGTTTGGATTGAGTTTAGGTTGGCCTGCTTTTTGAGACAGGGTCTTGCTAGGTAGCCTAGGCTGATCTTAATTAAACTTGTGATTCTCCTGCCTCAGTCTCCTAAGTGCTGACATTTCGTGCCTGTGTACCAGCTGTCCAGCAGGCAATACATTTTTTTTCTTTTAGTTTTTAGAGACATGGTTTCATGTATCCCAGGCTAGCCTTGAATTTACAGTATAGCCAAGGATGGCCTTGAACTCCTAATCTTCCTACCTTAACCTCCCGTTAGGATTATAGGCATGTGCTACCCACCTGGCCTAGGCCATTGTCCTAGTTTGTTCTTCATTGCTGTGACAAAATACTCTGACCAATACCAACTTGGGGAGGAAAGGATTTATTCAGCTTATATCTCCCAGGTTGCAGTTCATCAGGGAGCCCAAGGTAGGAACTCAGGGCAGGAACCTGGAAGCAGGAGCTGGAGCACAGGCCATGGAGGAACGCTGCTTTACTGGCTTGCTCCCCTGGCCCCTGCTCAGCCTGCTCTCTTATGCAACACAGGCCCACCTGCCCAGGGGTGGCACCACCCACAGTGGGCTGGGCCCTCCCACATCACTCATCAAGAAGATGCCCCTCAGACACGGCCATAGGCCAGTCCAATGAAGGCAATTCCCCAATTGAGGCTCCCTCAACCCAGGTGTGTCAAGTTGACACTAAAGCTATCCAGCATAGCCATCCAAGTTTTAATGTATTAGGAGTCACATTTTGTAATATGTGGCTTTATAGTCTCCTCTTTACATGTAAAATGGATGTTTTCCTGTGTGTGCATCTTTGCAGGTACTGCAACAGCCACTTGCAGGTACTTGGCTTTATCCCGAAAAAAGAGAGGAAGAAAAAGAATGATCCAGTAGATGAGGTGAAGGTCAGGCACCAGATGGATACCATGGCTTTTAGCCTGACGGTGCCTACGTTGGCCTTGAAGATGCCCAACGGACTGGATAGCATGTCCCTCTCTCCACCTGGAGCAAGGGTCCCTCTCCACTACCTGGAAACTGAGTTAGAAGACCCTTTTGCTTTCAACGAGGAGGATGATGACCTAAAGAAAGGGGCAACTGTGAGAAAGAAGTTGCAGAGCAAGTTGGCTCAGAACCGGCAGCGCCAGAGAGAGACAGAGATTTTAAAAGTTCGGCAAGAGCACTTTAGTCCCCCTCCTGCACCTCCGCAGCAGCAGCCTCCACAGCAGCACTCCCACCTGTCACCTTTATCCACTTTAAAACCTCCAGCACCACCGCAGGGTTCAGTCTGCAAGTCACCTCAGCCTCAGAACACCAGCCTACCAATGCAGGGAGTGGCCCCCACCACACACACTATAGCACAAGCAAGGCAGTCCTCCCAGAAGAGGCCTCTGCCCCTCCTGCCATCCAGCAAGGCTCCTGTCATGGACTTCCCCAGGACTGACCGCATCCTCATGAAAGCCACCGCCTTCTCGCCACACTTCTCTTGTATAAGTCGATTGCAGAGACTGGTGAAACTGTGCACCCAAAAGCATCAGCTGGACACGGATCTGTTTCCTCACTTGGGTGAGTTGGCTTCTGTTTTATTGTATGTATATGATAGGAAATGTGTCAGTCACATGAGGTTTTACTGTCATAACCACCACATATCTGTTATCAGTGGGACACCGGGACTGAGTCCATAGTACAAGGTTCTATATTTATAAATATTTTATTTATTTTTATTTTATGGGTATAAGTGTATTGCCTGCATGTGTGTGAGTGCACCCATGTCATGCAGTGCCTGCAAAAGTCAGAAGAGGGCATCGGAGCCCCTGGAACTGGAGTTACGAACAGTTGTTGCCTGCCATGTGGGTGCTGGGAATCAAACCCGGGTCCTCTGCAAGAGCAGCCAGTGCTCTTAAACGGCTGAGCCATCTCTCCAGTTCAAGGTTCTATATTTAAATGGACTACATTAAAGTAAAAATATATTCCTGGAGGAGATAATACCTGGTGAATAGAATACAGATTGGAATTGGTTATTCAGAATTCATTTCTAGCTTTAAAAAAATTATTTTGACAATTTCATGCATGTATATATTTTCATGATATTTACATTAACTCTTGTCCCCCTCCCCTTCCCACTGAACCTCTTTCCAACTGGTCCCTTTTCTACTTTCATGTCTGTTTTTGTTTTTATTGGTGATGCACTGAGTTTATTTAGTTTGCTTATATGAGCCTGGGTAGGGACAGTCACAACTCTGATTAGTAGAAATAACAGTATATAAAGATGAGTCTGTTTGATTTGATGCCTCTGTGAGATTAGGATCTGTGTATTCATTGATATTTTCTGTGTCTTAGATAGGGTCTTGCTATGTTGCCTAGATTAGCCCCCAATTCATTGGCTTGTACCTCAGCCTCTTGAGTACATTTTATTATACTTTATGAACTATAGACACTATATGTTTTACTGTTGGGCTTTAGCATAGTGACAGCATTCTTACTATCTGCTCATAGCTTTTCCTTTTAACCTTCATGAAGAAGCCTGGAGTAGTACTACATGACTGTCATCCTATTACTTGGTTAGGAGGCAGAAGCAGGAAGATTACTTCAAGTTTGAGACCAGCCTGGTCTACATAGTTCCAGACCAGCCAGGGCAGCATAGTGAGACCCTCACTCACCACCCCCCCAGTGAACCTCAGTAAAGAAAATTCTCATGGCAATTTTTGTTCATGAATGGGAAGTAAGAAAAGAGCTGGAGAGATGGCTTAGCAGTTAAGAGCACTGGCTGCTCTTGCAGAGGACCCGGGTTTGATTCCCAGCACCCACATGGTGGCTAACAACCATCCGTAACTCCAGTTCCACGGGATTCGATGCCCTCTTCTGTCCTCCTCAGTACATTGCATGACATGGGTGCACAAACATACATGTAGGCAATTCATTCATACACATGAAATAAAATAAAAATAATAAATAAAATAAAAATGAAAGAAAATACAAACAAAACATTTATTTTTTAATAATATATTTTATTATTTTGATGTATGAGTGTTGCTGCATGTATGTAGGTGCACCATGTGCATTCAGTGCCCTCAGAGGCCAGAAGAGGGCATTGGATTCCTTGGAACTGGAGTTTGGGATGGTTGTTGGCCACCAGGTAGGTGCCGGGTCCTCTGCAAAATTAGCCAATGCTCTTAACTGCTGAGTCATCTCTCTAGCCCAAAACTTACTCATTTAAAAATGTTCTCTGTTATTATCGTGTTGTGCTTGTGTGCATGTGTGCAATGTGTGAGAGCTGGCACGTGTATAGTAGTCAGAGGACACCTTTTTAGGGTTGATTCTCTCCTTCCACCATGGGATCTGGGGATTGAACTCAAGTCATCAGTTTTGGGAGATAAGCACTTTACCTAAGGCATCTTATAGGCTGCAGAGAAAACTTTTACTTTGATGTAATCAAATACCTATCTTTGTTGTTTCTGAATCCTAAGCTTATATATAAATTTTTCTATATTTGCTATTAATAGTGTAATTGGATTTATTGGATTTTAGGATTTACTATGTAGCCCTGGATGGCCTTGAATTTGCTGTCTTTCTGTTTTAGCCTTCAAGTGCTGGGATTTGCATACCACCATATCTGGCTTTTTAATTGTGTGTGTATGTGTGTGCCGGTGTGGGGATATGTTCATGTGTTAGTGCAGGTGCCCACGGATTCCAGAAGAGGGTGTTGGGTCCCTTGGAGTTAAGAGTTACAGTTGACTGTGAGCCAACCAGTTTGGGTGCTGGGTACCAACTTGGGTCCTTTGCAAGGGCAGTATGTGCCCTTAACCACTGAGCCATCACTTTAGCCTCTAGAATATATTCCTGACTATGCTATGAGCTAAAATTCTGACTTCACGAAAAAAAATCTTTTGTTTGCTTGATGTGGTAGCAATAGAAATGCAAGCAAAGGCTACGAATCACAGAAGAAATGGGAATAGTCCATAGACAGTGAAAACCCCAGTTCCCATAACAGGTAAGAAAGTATAAATGAGGCCAGGTGTGGTGGCACACAGCTGTAGTCCCAGCACTTGGGAGGCAGAGGCAAGTGGATCTCTGTGAGTTCAGGGCCAGCCTGGTCTGTATAGTGAGTTCCAGGCCAGCTGGGGCTACAGGGCGAACCTGTTTCAAAACGACAAAAAAAACATATGTTAAGTGAAACCGCATTATTTACCAGATTGGCAAAATTCGTGTTCATGAACCTATGATAGTATATACATTGCTGGTGAGTAGTATAGCAATGTCAACTAATTAAAAATGTGTGTTTATAAGCTGGGCTTGTAATTCATCCCAGCACTTGGGAGGCTGAGATAAGAGGATTGAGTTGAGTTTGAGGCCAGCCCTGTTGAAAAACAAAACAAAACAAAACAAGGGGGCTGGAAACATGGCCCAGTGGTTAAGAACACTGGCTGCTCTTGGCAAAGGCCACAGGTTCAGTTCCCAGCACCCACATAGCAGCTAACAACCATATGTAACTCCAGTTCCAAGGGATCTGATGCCCTGTTCTGGCCTCTGCAGGCATTTGCACCACATGTGTGCTCTTACATATATGCAAGTAAGACACTCATACACAAAAGTAAATAAAATTAACAAAACTATACATACACACTTATAATAATGTATTATAGATACAAATAGTTATCAAGGTCGGTTTTGGGATTCCATCCTACCAGTAACTATCCAAATGTAAGAATATGTGTATGGGGGGCTGGAGAGATGGCTCAGAGGTTAAGAACACTGGTTGTTCTTGCAGAAGACCCGGGTTTGAATCTCAGCACCCACATGGCAGCTAACAACTATCCATAACTCCAGTCCTGACAGCCTCTTGTGACCTCCTCAGGCATTGGATGACACGGGTGCACTTACCTACATGCATGCAATACATGCATACACATAAAAAAAAAAAAAAAAAGTTAAAAGAATATGTGTATAGGGTGTTTATTGTAGCATTGCTTACAGAATTTGTAGTCTGCCAATATTCTGAATTAACCAATAGGAAACTTTTGAGTGACAGGGCATATGTGTTTCACACATTCTTACACAGCTGTTGTTATACAGCCCAGATACACATTTCGTTTTTCATATCTGTCTGAGCTGTGCCCTTGGCTTAACTGGCAGAAGAAAGTCAAGAGGAATTATATTACTCCATTTTCATGAAAATAAGTAAACAAAAGGAAATAAATAGGGTATATATAGTATATCCATTGGTTATGGATATGGGTAGATGCTCTCCGGTTTGGTGTGTGAGTGAACATGTGTACAGACATACACAACCTGGCTGTTGACACAGGCTTCCGCAAGGAGAGGAGACTGGGACAGGGGTATTTGATGGGAGATGAGAGTGGTGGGCTTCCTCCTGTAGCTCTAAGGTATTTCACTTGTGGTTAAGCTGTCTGAATATGTTTTATATGTACCTTTTAAGATATAGTTAAGCAAAAATATAAAATCTTAAACATATTAAATACCTGTTTGTTTTAAGACCATGGTAAATTCTTTAAAATAAAGTTGAGTTCCTATTATACTTACTCATTTGTAACCTGTTTGAGAATGTTGCATCATAATGTATTTTCAAGTTAATTATTTTTTCATATACAACACAATTTGTCATGGCTGAATTTTGTCTTATTTCCAGTTTATATTATTATAAACTATTATAGATGGCTAACTTTGCAGCAAAGCAATTACTGTCATATCTTTAATTTTTTCTTACAATGTCTGATTGACATTAGAACTGCCAATTCCAAGCCTTTGCATTTTTTGGATGGGCATAGGTACTCTGTGACTGGTCTCATACTTCGTGGTAGCACTCTGTTGCTGGGCTCCACATACTCCAACTCCCTCTGCATTTTTTATTTTGTTTTATCATCATCATTGTTATTTTTTGAGGTAGTATCTCTGGTTTTTTGAGACAGGGGTCTCACTCTATATTCAAAGCTGGCCTCAAACTCTAATCCCTAGCCTTTTTTTAAAAAAAAATTTATTTAATGACCACGTAATTAGTAGAATAATTTCATTACAACAACATTGACATAGTCAATAACAGTTTTCAGGGCAAAGATGCATCTCTTTAAAATTGGCTGTAATTTTTGGGTTCACAGTGTTGAATTAATGCAGTTGTACATTATTGTACTCAGCATAAACCCTGTAAGACATAAAATTGAATGCGGTTTTAACCTTTAAAAAAGATCTCCATCTAATTCCTAGCCTCTTGAGTGCTGGGATTGCAGTCCTCTTCCTCTGCCTTTTTTTTTTTTTTTTTTCTTTTTTTTTGGGGGGGGCAGCGTCTTAGGTAGCCCAAGTAATCTCAAACTCACTATTTAGGTGAATCGACCTTGAAGTACTAACCCTCCGCCTTCACCTCCCAAATGCTAGGATTACAGGTGTGTGCCACCACACCTGGTTCTGCATTTTTACAAACAAATTTTGTAGGTCTTCATAGGGCTTTGCGGTAGAGTTTATATCAGCATGTGTGAGGCCCTGAATTTAGTCCCAAACAACCCTCAAAAAATTTTTTATATGAGTTGCCAAGTTTTGAGAAAATGTTTTGTCAATTTACTCTCTTTTTTAGTAGTATCTGAGAATGAGTTTTCCTACCTCTTGAAGATTTATTTGTTTTTATCAATGTGTATGTGTGTGTGTTTGTAAGAGTATATAACATGTATGTATGGAGGCCAGAGGAGGGTGTCAGATTCCCTAGAGCTGGAGCTATAGGTGGGTGTGAGCCTCCTGACATGGGTGCTGGGAACCACACTCAGGTCCTCTGGAAGAGCACCAAACTCCCTTAACCATTGAGCCATCTCTCCACCCCTGAGTTTAGTTGCTGTGTAGAATCTGAAACCTTGTGAAGGAATCTCAGCTTCTGCGTACCCACCTTCCCCCCCCCCTTTTTTTTTTGAGACAGGGACTCCCTATAGCCCCAGCTGACCTGAAACTTGCTATGTAGATCAGTCTGGCCTTGAACTCACAGAGCTCTGCCTGCTTCTGCCTTCCCAGTGCTGGGATTAAAGGCGTGTGCCACCATGCCCTGTGCTCACTCTTGTTAAAACCCCAATAACAACAATAAAGACCTCCCTAGCTCGGGACATACAGCAAGAGCCTGGGCATTCAGAGGACAAGGGGCATATGTGTGTATGACTTTATAGGGTGCCAAGCATGGCTTCCAGCTGAGACTTGGAGAAAGGTGAGCTGTGTATTTGGAGGAAAAAGGGGTTTTCTGAAAGGAGAGCTCAGCTGTGCAAAGGCCCTAGGGCAGGACAGAGCCTGAGGAGACCCCTGTGGCTGGAGCAGAAGGAACTGGTGCAGAGAGAGAGGAGGGAGGCAGGAAGGGGATGGGACAGGACCAGCTGGGCTGCAGGGAGAACTTGGGCTTTGACCCCAAAGGAGATGGGAGCCACAGAGGGTTGTGGGCAGAGGAGGAAGGAAGTCTCAGTCAGATGTTCATCAGGAGCCCTCTGGCTAGCCTAGGGTTAGTCTGTCGCTGAGCTCACAGAGCTCTGCCTGCGTCTGTGTCCCCAGTGCTGGGAGTAAAGGCGTGTGCCCCCATGCCCTGTGCTCTCTCTTGTTCGTGTTCTCTCTCTCTCTCTCTCTCTCTCTCTCTCTCTCTCTCTCTCTCTCTCTTTTAAGTCTCCTGTAGCCTAGGCTAGCCTCAAAGTTGCTGTATAGACAAGAATGACCTTGAATTCCTCTTGTACCAACCTGAGTGGGGATTACAGGCATGTATCACCATACCTTGTTTATGTGGTGATGGAGGATTGAACACAAGATTTCATGCATGCTAGGTAAACACTCTACCAACTGAGCTACATCCCAGTCCTCAAGGAACTTTTCCTACAATTCTATGAATATCCATTGGTCTACCTTGTGTTTTGAATGGATCTTTTACTAATGCAGTATTTTGTAACATCATATGTTAATCATTTAAAAAATGTTGGTTTACAGATGTTTGAAATGTTGGCATATTTCATTATGCAAAATTGAAAACAAAATCACCTTTGTTAATATTGCCACAGTCTTATTTTAAAAATCTAACTAAGGGTTGGAGAGATGGCTCAGTAAAGAATACATATTGCTCTTGCAGAGGACCTGAGTTAGGGTCCCAGCACCCACGGTCAAGTGACTCATAGCTGTCTCCAAGTGACTCATAGCTGTCTATAACTCTAGATCTAGGGGACCTAATGCCCTCTTCTTGCCTCCATGGTCACATGTGGGACACACATAGACACACATACACAGACATACACACACACACACACACACACACACACTATAATTTTAAAAAGTTAAAAAATAAATTAAAAAAGAAAAGCCTATTGGCAAGTTTTCATGTTCTCAGTGATAAATTCAAGTTTTCCAAAAATCAAACTTTTAAGTCTCATGGGAATGTTATCATTGATTGGCTGCAGTTGTGATTTGGGTATGAAGTGTCCCCAGAAGGCTCAGGTTGGTTGCCAGTACGTGAGCTTTGAGGAAGTGGTTGGATTGTGAAGGCTCTACCCCATGGGTGGATAAATCCATTGATGGATTTATAATTTGAGGTGGGGCCATGATGCAAGCAGTTGGTGACTGGGAGTGTGCCCTTGAGGGATCTACCTTGTTCCTGGTCCCTTCTCTCTCTGCTTCCCGGGGCTGTGAGGTGAGAACTTGGCTCATGGACACCCTTCTGTCATGATAAACTGAAACTCTTTTTATAAAAAAATTAACTTATTTTTAATTTGTGTGTGTGTGTGTGTGTGTGTGTGTGTGTGTGTGTGTGTGTGTGCATGAGAGTGTGGGTAACCATGGAGGACAGAGGGGTGATTCCCTAGAGCTGGAGTTACAGGTGGTTGGGAGCTTTCCAACTTAGGTCTTCTGCAAGAGGGTACCTGCTCTCAACCACTGAGCCATCTCTGGGGCAACAGAACATGACCTTTAAACTCCTGATCTTCCTGCCTCTACCTCCCAAGTGCTGAGATTACAGGGATGTGGCACCATGTCCAGCTGACCAAAATTTTTGGAACCATGATTTAAAGTAAAAAATTTTCTCCTTTTAAGCTGATTTGCTCAGGTGTTTTGTCACAGTAACTAATAGTGTAGAACATAACAACATAAATACTGTTATTCTCCTCTTCCTTAACATGACAACTTCATTGTCTTAGAAACCATAGATTTAAAAAAAAACAACAACCAGGATCTATAGTTGTGTGTGGACTTTCCAGCGCAGCTGAAAGTGGGGGGGGGGGCAGCACCCATTCTTCTGTAAATAAACCCCACCCTATGCTCTGTTAGCAAGCTCAATAAACTTGTTAGGATTTTCCAGGGGAAAAAAAAGAGCGAATGGAAACCTTCATTATTCCACCAAAGTTGATCCCATGTTGGCAAATCCTTTGGTTTTTGATTTCTTATTCCTATTTTTTCCCCTTAAACTTCATTGTATATATATGTTTTTTATATAACCTTTTTCAGGTTATTTCTGGAAAAATGTTTAAAATTGCCTCTCTTTGGAATAATAAAAAAATGAAAATTTAAACCATAGATTTTTCAATCAATCTTTCCAATAAAAATGATATATAGGTGCTGAGAAGATTGGCTTAGTTGGTAAAGTGTCTGCCTTACAAGCCAGCCTGGGCTACATGAGACCTTGTCACAAACAAACTAGCTTAGTGAAACAAAAGCAATTCATTCAAGTTGCAACTCAAACCACCATAAATCCTTCTTCCTTCCTTCTTTTTTTTTTATATTTTATTTATTTTTATCTTATGAGTATATTGCCTGCATGTGTGTAAGTGCACCCATGTTGTGCAATATGCACAAAGGTCAGAGGAGGGCACTGGATTCCCTGGAACTGGTGTTACAGATGGTTATTAGCTGCCTTGTGGGTACTGGGAAACCCAGGTCCTTGGTGGCAGCAGCTAGTGCTCTTAACCGCTGAGCCATCTCTCCAACCCTCCTGCTGGCCTCATTCTCAAAGGATCTGCCTGCCTCTGCCTCCTGAGTGCTAGGACTAAAGATGTATGCCACCTTGCCCAGCATCATAAATCCTTCCTTATGCAGCAGAGGAGCTATATGTACACTTTATATTTATCACACAATATGTTAGACATGTACTCGAGGGTTGAGAGGTAATAAAATACTATTTAACAACGAAGAACACTCTTAAGTAAAACTTGTTGTCTGTGTGTGTACCTACATCCCTGTTATCTACAAATCTTGTTGACTCTAAGGTGTGTTGTAAAGGTTCCAGTGATTACTAGTTGCTGATCACTCAGAGTTTGGTGCCACTACCTTGACTCAGCTGTGGTGACGCAGCAGTCACCACAGCCCACTGTTGCTTTTGTACCATTTGGTGTAAATATCACACAGATATAAAAGCCAATAATGTCTTGGTAGTGGTTTGAAAGTAATGTTGAACTCCTGAGAGAATTTTAGGGACTTTTGGGGATTTATGGTCCATATTTATAATATAGTTGAAGGTTTATGTGCTTTATGAACCAATATTTATCCTGTATTTATTATTATTATTATTTTGGTCTTTATGAGACAGGGTCTCCCTATTAACCCAGCTGGCCTGAAACTCACTATGTAGACCAGGCTGGCCTTGAACTTACCCTGTATTTATTTAGCCTTTTTCATCCATTTTTACTAGTGTTTATTGATACCACGAGTTTTTTTACATATTGCATTTTTTAAAAAGTATGGAGTGCTTCATGAATTTGCATGTCATTCTTGCACAGGGGCCATGCCAATCTTCTCTCTATTGTTCCAGTTTTAGTGTATATGCTGCCAAACTGAGCATCATATTCCATATTTTCTTTACATTTTTTAAAATATTCTGTTTTTATTATTTTTAGTGTATGGGTGTATTGCCTGCATCCATATAAATGCAGCAGTGTCATGCAGTGCCTGTGGAGGTCAGAAGAGGGTGTTGGATTCCCTGGAATTGGAGTTATGGGTAGTTGTTAACTGCCATATGAGTCTTGGGATTTGAACCTGGGTTTTCTACAAGAGTAGTCAGTACTTTTAACCACTGAGCCATCTCTCCAGCCCCATATTCCGTATTTTCAAAAAGCCTCTCCCACCCTCATTATTCGCTTTCAAATATCTGTACTTCTGATTTTCTTTTACATTTATTGTGTGTTAGTGTGTGTGCACATACCTACACATGCCACATGGCACACACACAGGTCAGAGTACAGCTTGGGGGAATCATTTGTTTCCTACCATGTGAGTTCTGGGGATTAAACTCAGATTGCCACGTTTGATGGCAAACATTCGTATTTCCCAAGCCCCTGATTGTTTTTCCTTTTTGTTTGTCTTTTGAGACTGGGTCTCTTGCTATGCTGCCTAGTTTGTCCTCAAACTCAAAGTGTCCTGCTTCAGCCTCCTGAGTGCCATATGAGCCACTATGCCTGACCCTCCCTTTTCCTTGTTTTTGAGCAGAATGATGCTTGCCAAAAAAGCATGTGGCCTTTTTGTGTTTTTTAATTCCAAGCATATTAGAGATCTAAGATTTCAGAACTAAGGCCCTTTTGGAGAAGTCAGAAATTGTAATGCACTCTACTAAGCATAGTCTGTATTCAAGTCAGCAAAGTACGCAAAGAGAAAGCCAGTCTTGTAATTAGCTTTTACAGTCCAGTCTGGGCTGGTTATATCAGTTACATTAGAACCTGAGAAAAGGAAGCCAAGATCAAAGATTTGTTTTATGGGACAGTTAATTTCACAGCAAAAGAAACATTTCCATCTCTATTCTGCCCACTTAGAGTTTGACATTTTCAGAGAAAGTAGAGTGTCTTAATAGAAATTGTTATCATTTGTACAGCAGCAATGCAAAGACAGTCCATGCTGTGTTTTAAAGGTGCTTCAAGGATCATGTTAAAGAACCACACCTTTCCACATACTGAGGTTGATGCTGATAACTTGTTTATTACTTTGTTCCCTACAAATTATTATTTTAGTTGGAAGTATTCACTTTTTAAGACGACCTGACTTGTTAAAATGTCATCTTAGAACTAGAGTTGACATTTATGGCAGTGGCAATGTGCAATTTAATGTTAAACATTTATAATTTACATTTTAATTAACCTTTGCATAATTTCCCTATTTGGTACATATAAACTCATTTAAACCAGGGAAGGAATGGCTGAGGTCTTTTTTAATAGAATTCTGTCTAGTGAGAATGGTCTTTTTGAATTTTGAGGTTCCAAGAAGGAAGATAAAACACCAGTTATACAATGTGAATATATTTCATAATGTGAATGTGTTGGTTCTGTGGCCTCACACTCTACTATACTTTAGGATGAGCAGCTTCTGCTTATCAAAACTCTTTGGTATATAAATTTAAAGAGAGAAATTCTTATGTTAGAAGCTAATTATCGCTAGAAATTACAGCTTTTAACAAAATGAAAATTGTTCATACTATATTTCTACTCTTTCCCCTCTGATCTTATTTTTTTAAAGTGGAACACAGAATGTTGAAAGAAATCCCCCAAATCATTAGTCACAGACTGTTCCCATCTCTCTCTCCCTTCCTCCCATGAGTGTGGCCCTGCCTAGTCTGTGGAGCTTTTCCTTCAGAAGCACCAGGAGAGGGGATTGAAGTATGCCTACCTTTGAAGTTTATTCCAGGGCCACCTCTGTTGAAATATAGCGTGACTCCGCTGGTGCTTTTTTCTTGCCTGGACATATAAATTACTTTTCTGACCCTTTTCAAAGGTTCTTTTTTGAATCAGGGTTTTATGTCTCTTAGACTGGCCTAGAACTTGTTTTGTAGTTGAGGGTGGCATTGAACTTGATCCTCCTGCCTCCATCTCCTAAGTACTGGGATTACAGACATGTGTCACTATACTCAGTTTTGAGCAGTGTTGAGGATTGAACCCAGTGCTTTTTTAATGCTAGGCAAGCACTCTCCCAATTAAGCTACATCAGCTCTGACTTCAATGTGTTTTTTCTGACATTGTTTTAGTATATGATGTTTTTAAAAAATACTTTGTTTGAGTGTATTGCCTCCATGTATATAAGTGCACCCATGTCATGCAATGCCCGCGGAAGTCAGAAGAGGGCGTTGGATCCCCTGGAACTGGAGTTACAGATGGTTGTTAGGCTCCATGTGGGTGCTGAGAATTGAACCTGGGCCCTCTTCAAGAGCAGCCAGTGCTCTCAACTGCTGAGCCATCTCTCTAGCCCTATGTATGGTGTTTTGATCTTTGAATAATTTTACCTTTTATGTATCCTGAGCTCTTTTTGGTTGTTTTCACTTGGTTAATGAAATGTCTGATGAAGTCTATCCTTGGACTAGAGCACAGCTTTGTTATAGTGCCATTGTTTTTAAAGCTGAATGTATGTCATGCATTCATTATTAATATCTTTGTATGAATAGAAATGACCCATCCAGAGGTAGCTATCGTCACTGTAATAGACATGTTGTAGGCATTGCTTATATATTCTGGACAGCTTTTTTGTCTAAATTTTAAATAAAAGCAAATTTTTCTAACTTGCGATACCTACTGTCTGCTGCAGGATTGGACTGGTCAGAGGAGAGTGGAGAGGAGCCGGAGGACTCAGATCAGGCCTCACCATACCAGGTCGCCTGGTCAGTCCGAGAAACTCTCAGATATGAACGACACACGTAAGCTTTCTTTTTTTGGATTTGTTCTTGGACATGTAGCAGGTCAACTTATTTCCTGTCTGTGCTAGTGCTTTTATTTTAGGAAACCAAGGCAGGAACTCAGGATAGGAACCTGGAGCACAGACCATGGAGGATAGCTGCTTAGTGGCTTGCTCCCCTGGCCCATGCCTAACTTGCTTTTTTTTTTTTTTTTAATTAAAAATATTTTATTTATTATTTTTATTTTATGTGTATGCGTGTATTGCCTGCATGTAGGTAAGTGCACCCGTGTCATGCAATGCTTTCGGAGAACAGGAGACTGTCAGATTCCCTGGAACTGGAGTTACGAACAGTTGTTAGCTGCCATGTGGGTGCTGGGATTTGAACCCGGGTCTTCTGCAAGAACAGTCAGTGTTCTTAACTGCTGAGCTATCTCTCCAGCCCCTTAACTTGCTTTCTTATACAATACAGGACCTCCTGCCCAGGGTGACACTGCCCACAGTGGGCTAAGCCCTCCCACGTCATTCAACAATCAAGAAAATGCCCCATAGACTTTGCAATAGGCCAGTCCAGTGGAGGCGATTCCCCAGTTGAGGCTCCCTCAGCCCAGGTGTGTCAAGTTGGTAACTAAAGCTATCCAGCACAATTGTCAGCTTGACACAAACACACTGCTATTAAACCACAACCTTTCCATTTCTTGTCTCTAAGATATAATGCTGACATTAATATCACAACATACATAAGGCAGTATAACCTTAAAAGTCCCACGATCTTTAAAAGATTCAAACACTTTAAATGTTCAGTCTTAAAAGTCTCTTAACTGTAGGCTCCTATAAAATCCAAAACAAGTACTGTCTTATTTCAAAAGGGAAGAATTGGGCACATCTAAGCAAAACCTAAGCCCAGCAAAGTAGTTCAAGGCTGAACATCTGGGATTCACTCACGATCTTCTGGACTCCAAAGGACTTCAGCAGCTCCACTTTCTGGCTCTGCTAGTCATAGCACACACAGCTCATCTTGCAGGCCCAGGTCGCTCCGTTCCATACCTGCTGCCGCCCTTGGTGGTCATCCCAGGGTCTCAGCATCTCCAAAAAGCTTGGTTCTTCACTGAAACTGAGGCTGCATCTTTACCAATAGGCTCTTCTGGCCTATCAGGGTGTCAGGCCTCAGCTGCTTTCTGTGCCCTCTTCAGGCTTTCAACACCAGAACCATGCAGGAGACTCTTAAATATTATCAAGTCCTGCTTCCACCCTGAGATGGAGGCTCAGGCCTCCTCTGGACCACAGCTTCTGTGTGCTGACCCTGAGGAAATACTTCCCAGAAGGTTTTGCCACCATGATGCTAGTCTCTTGTTATCCACAGCTGATCTTTCAGCCTTAGCTGACCGTAATTCAATTCTCAATTCAAAATATCACACAAACAGCCCTTATAGTCTCTTCTTCCCTTTGAAGCTTCACAAGCCAGGCCTCCATCATCTACATCTCTTTCAGCATAACTGTTCTAAGCTCCACAGCAACAAACTCTAAGCACTCAATGGCTTTTCCAGCCCAAAGTTCCAAATGTTTCCATAATTCTCCCCAAATCAACTGGGTTAGGTCTGTCACAGCAATACCCCACTCTCGGTACCAATTTCTGTTATAGTTTGCTGTCAGTTGCTGTGACAAAACACTCTGACCAATACCAGCTTGGAGGGGAAAGGATTTATTTGGCTTATAAGCAGAGTTCATCATCAAGGGAAGCCAAGGAACTCAGAGCAGGAACCTAGAGCACAGACCATGAAGGATAGCTGTTTACTGGCTTGCTCCTCTGGCCAATGCTCAACCTACTTTCTTATACAGTACAGCAACACCTGCCCAGCGGTGGGACTGCCCATAGTGGGCTAGACCCTCCCACATCACTCAGCAATAAAAAAAAATGCCACACAGGCCAGTCCAATGAAGGCAATTCCCCAGTTGAGGCTCCCTCAACCCAGGTGTGTCAGGTTGACATCTAAAGTTATCCAGCACATGTGGTCATAGAGTAATTCTAGAAATTCAGTGGTTTGACTTTTACAACTTAGTTTTTCTCCACAATAATTTTGATTGTTCAAAGTGCTTTGCATTTCTACAGATATCCTAGAACCATGTCATTTCTACAAATTAGACTCTTGTGACTGTGGTTTGAATACTTTTTTTTATTTTTTGGTTTTATTTTATTTTTATTTTATGTGTATGAGTTCTTTGCCTGCATGTATGTAAGTGCACCCATTTCATGCAGTCCCCACAGAGATCAGAAGAGAACTGATCCCTTTGAGCTGGAGTTAGAGCAGTTGTTAGCCACCATGTGGGTGCTGGCAATAGAACCTGGGTCCTCTGCAAGAGCAGCCAGTGCTCTTAACTGCTGAGCCATCCCTCCAGCCCCTATTTTTTATTTATTTTTTTAATTTTTATTTATGTTTTTGGTCTTTTTGAGACTGGGTCTCCCTGTAGCCCCAGCTGTCCTGGAACTCACTATGTAGACCAGGCTGGCCTTGAACTCACAGAGATCCTCCTGCCTCTGCCTCCTGAGTGCTGGGATTAAAGGTGTGTGCCACCACGCCCAGCCTATTTTTTAAATTAAAAAAAATTTTTTTTATTATTTTTATATGTGTATGCATGTATTTCTTGCATATAAGTAAGTGGACCTGTGTCATGCAATGCCTGCGGAGGTCAGAAGAGGCTGTTGGATCCCCTGGGATGAAGTTATGGACAGTTGTTCACTGCCATGTGGGTACTGGGATTTGAACCCAGGTCTTCTGCAAGAACAACCAGTGTTCTTAACCACTGAGCCGTCTCTCCAGCCCCCTATTTTTTATTTTTAAAATAATTTTTGTAATTTTATAACTTTATATTTTTTTCTCAGTAGTGTTTAATTTTTGTTACAAAGGTCTTGCACATTTTAAATATATCTTCAAGTATTTTGCTAGTAGCTGTTTTTGTTTTGTTTTGATCTGCAGTCATGAATATATATTGCAGTTAAAAGAGGTTTTGTGTGCCCCCTTCCCTCCCTCCCTCCTTTTCTCTCCTCCCTTGCCACAGCTTGTGTTTGGAGGTCAGAGGACAACTTTGGGAAGTCCTTATTTGCCGACTCAACTCTTCCAGCCCAAAACAAGGGTTTTTTTTTGTTGTTTTTTTTTTTTTAAAGCCAGGGTCTCCCTCTGTAGCCCCGGCTTGCCCCTCTTACTCCCTAGTATCCTGCCTCAGCCTCCTGTGTGTTGGAATTCATTCTTGGCACAGTACAATTTTGATAAATTTGTTTGTTCTTGTTTTCTGCATAAACTCTGATTTCCTTTGAAAACAATTATGCCATTTATGAATATGGTAGTTTTTCTTCCTTCCAATCTTTATGCTTTTCATTCCTATTTGGCCTGTTGGTATTGGCATATATTTTCAGTAAAATATTGAATAGAAATAGTAAAGATGGATATAATTGACTTTGTATTTTGTATAAAATATTTATGGAACTTTGAACTAATTTTTTTGTTTAAAAGAGTTCCATTTACAGGGGCTGGAGAGATGGCTCAGTGGTTAAGAGTACTGGCTGCTCTTGCAGAGGACCCAGGTTCAGTTCCTAGCACCCACATGGTGGCTAACAGCCGTCCATAACTCCTTGTACCAGGGGATCTGACACCCTCTTCTGACCTCCATGGGCATTGCACAACACGGGTGCACTTACAAAAATGCAGGCAAAACACTCATACACATAAAATGAAAGTAAAGAGAAATATTTTTCAAGAGCTCCATTTATTTCCTGTTTAGATCTATTTAAGACCATTCTCCTTAGTCTTTCACTGCTTTTTAGTTTTGGTGAATCCATCCTTTAAATGTCTCACATATAGCTATTTTATATTCGTAATTTAAACCTTTAGAGTCCTTATAAGTCTGTTATTTAGTCTGTCTTTTTGTCATACAAAGTGGTTTACTTCCTCATTTGTATGGTAATCTTGGTAGTTGATCCTGCCTCTCCTGGAATGTCAGGTTCAGCAGGTGCCCTGTCAGCAGCTCTTTTTGCTGTCTTTCTCCAACTTCAGCTCTAGTTCTCTTTTCCTGTTTATTCATTTTTTTTGACCAAACAGTTTGGGAAAAGAGTTCCTCCTCAAGGCCAGCAATGCAGTAAGTGTGTTCTCCTGAGTGTGTTGGTGCTTTAGAGTAAAGTTCCCTGAGTCCCCGGCTGGGCCTGCCCCAGCAGTTCATTCTGTTGTTGCTTCACTGGGTCAGTGATCTGCAGATCTTTTTCTCCTGTCTTCTGAGTTCGATCTGCCTGTTGGATGTTTCTTATCAAATATTTTCTTGATAGCTTGAAATGAGCATTTTCAGAACTAAACTATTCTCCTTAATGGGTATTTATTTTCCTTTATAGAGTGCCCTTTTCTAACTCCTGTTTTTGTGAGATATGCTGCCGTTTTCCTGCTTTGTTGTTTTAGTAAAGTAAATTAAAGCAAATTTTTATTTGAAGAATTTCCTGTCATGCCTTAAGATTATGGACAAGCCTGGAGTCTTAGAATGTCAAATTTGGATTTTGTTGCTGTATATTTGGATTTTATTAGTTACATTTAAAAAATTAGTATGAGCCAGGTATGGTGGCACATGCCTTTTTTCCCAGCACTTGGGAGGCAGAGGTCATCCTGATTTACACAGAGAATAGTTCCAGGTCAGCTGGGGCTACAGAAGACCCTTTCTCAAAAAAAAAAAAAATTGGTATGCGTAGGGACTGGAGAGATGGCTCAGTGGTTAAGATCACTGATTGCTCTTGTAGTGGACCTGGGTTTGCTTCTCAGCACCCACATAATGGCTCACAACTGCCTGTAATCCCTCTTCTGGTCTCTGCAGGCATTGCATGCATGTGGTACACATTAACCGACTTCCAGGAACACACACATAAATAAAAAATTAGGTGTGTGCCTATGTATGTGCGTGTGTATGTGTCTACAGATTCATACGTGGCATGGGACACATGTGAAAGTCAGAGTAACATTTTGGGAGTTGGTTCTCCTTTCACCCTGGGTTCTGGGAACCAAACTCAGATTGTCAGGCTTCTGTGGCAAGTGTTTTTACCTACTGAGCTGTCACTGAACTGTCTTGCTGGCCCTATCAGTAACATTTTAGCAATAATAACTATAATTAGTATGATTTCTCCTTGGGATGTAGGTAGGCCAGCTGCATGTCTCCTCTTAAAGATGAGGAGAGTTCAAGAATGAGAATGTCCATAGTGCCAGGCCCATCACTGGTCTGCGAGGGGGGATTGGCCTTTCTCTTTCTAGCCACTGCTTTTCCTCAACAACCAGGTGTGATGTGCTAATGCCATAGCTCTTAGTTACAAATGGCAAGCAACTCAAAGTTTTCTAGATTAGGCACATGCCAGTGATGGTCTGTGGACCCGTCAGTCTTCAAACTGCCTATTTGTCCATGACACAGTAAGTATGGAAATTATTAATAAGTTTTAGAAACTTTCAAATCTCAATACCTACTGCATCTTTGCATGGTCACTTTGAGAGGTGTGTATCTAGTCATGCTTCCTGAAGGATGAGTCTTTTAGATAATTTTGACCAGTGACTCTATCCTTACTTTTCCTTTTGAGACCTGCTTTTCCTCTCCCCTTTGCATTTCTATTATGATACTTCTATTATGCTTATGCAGATTCAAAGCCATTGTTATTTTTTATTTTTATATTTTATTTATTTATTTATTTATTTATTTATTTATTTATTTATTTATTTAGAGACAAGATCTCTCTATAGCTCCAGCTGGCCTGAAAGTCACCATATAGACCAGGGTGACTCGATCTCAGAGACCTGTCTGCCTCTGCCTCTTGAGTGCTGGGATTAAAGTCCATACCCAACCGTTTTTGACTTTCTTACCTGTTTTAACCAGTTGCCAGGTTGAGTTAATTCCTTTATGATAAATGCCCTTGTATGTGTTTCGTTTAGTATCTCTGTGGCGTCTTTCTTTAATCACTCTCCTGTCTTTCAGTTGTTAACCATTCACTCAGCTCTGTCTCTCTTCCCTAAATATGCTCTAGGTTGTCATTCCCAATAGTGTTTGAAGAGCTCCTTATTTAGTGGGGTTTTTCCTTCTTTTTTTCTTTCTTAAATATTTTATTTATTATTTTTTGGTCTTTTTGAGACAGGGCCTCCCTGTAGCCCCAGCTGGCCTGGAACTCACTATATAGACCAGGCTGGCCTTGAACTCACAATTTGCCTGCCTCTGCCTCTGGTGTGCACCACCACACCCATATTTATTTTTTATTTTGTGTATATGAGTGTATTGCCTCCATGTATGTAAGTACACCTGTGTCATGCAGTGTCCACAGAGGTTAGAAGAGGCTGTTGGATACTCTGGAACTGGAGTTATGGATGGTTGTTAGCCACCATGTAGGTGCTGGGAATCGAACTCTTGTCCTTTGCAAGAGCAGTCAGTGCTCTTAATCTCTGATGCATCTCTCCATCCCCCCCTTTTTTTTTTCTTTTTTTTAAAACAGGATCTTACTGTATTGTTCAGGCTGGCCTTGAACTCATAGCAGTTCTCCTGCCTCAGTCTTCCAATGAGCCACACATGGCTTATTTTATTTAAGTTCCTCTTGGGGTATGGCTTGGTGGAAGGATACTTGTAGAACATGTGTTAGGTCCTGTGTTCCTTTCAGAGTACTGCAAAATTATTTTAAAAAACCCCAAAAACAAAAACAATGAAAGAAATGAAAGCCCCTCCCCTCCAAGAGCCCTTTTGACTAAGGTGGAAACCAGTATCTCTTCTGGGTCTATCTAATTCTTTTGTTTGTTTGTTTGTTTGTTTGTTTGTTTGCATTAGTGTTTTGTCTGCATGTAAGCACACTATGTGCATGCAGTGCCCACAGATACCAGAAGAGGCTGTTGGATCTCCTGGAACTGGATTTATAGATGATTGTGAACCTCAACGTGGGTTCTGGGAACCAAACTTAGGTCCTGTGGAAGAGCAGCCAGTGCTCTTAACTGCTGAGCCATCTCTCCAGCCTGCTGTCTAGTTCTTTGTTTTACAAATGGTACTGCTGGGCTGGCACGATGGCACAGTTGCTAAAGTGCTTGCCACGCAAGCCTGACGATCTGAGCTGTCTGTTCCTGGAACCCGCATGAAGGTAGGAGAGGACTAATGCCACGGAGTTGTCCTCTGACCTCCATGTGTCACAACCTCCCAGTCATACACATACGCACACACAACGGTAGTAAGTAAAAATTAAAAAGAAATGGTACTGCTATTTTCTCCTAGCCTTTGCTGAGGGAAACCACTAAGCTGTTCTCATCCCTCCTGCTGTCTCTTCCAGGTTGCTTGTCTTCTGTCCAAGCACGCCACTTCTCTTGTCTGCATTCCAGCTGCTACCCTAGCAGCAGTCCACACTCTTTCTCACCTGAGGTTGTGTTATAGCTTCCTAGCTGCTCTCTCATCTCTTCCTTGTATCCTGTGTCTCCTGTGTTGCCTTTCTCTTGTTACTAGTATTGCTACCCATTGTCTTAAATATCTAAAGGTTCTTCATTGTCTTTGAAATAAAAATTAAACTTTCCTCCTGCTTCACTTACTAGGAGTTGAACCTCTGAAATGCTAGGCAAGTGCTCCACTCCTGAGCTATATGCCTGGGTCTTTTTTAAAACTTAAAAAAAGTTTTGAGATAGGGTATTGCTGAGGTGCTTAGGCTAAGTAAGAACTCACTCTGCAGGTCAACCTGGCCTTGGATTTGTGATCCTTCTGCTTCAGCCTCCTGAATAGCTGGGTTTACAGGCCTGTGCTGGCAGGCCTGGCATGATACTCTTTAACTTGGAATTTTGGAAAGTTCAGCTATCATCAGTTTATTCAAGGTTTAATTCTACTTCCATCTCCTCAGCAACCTTTAATGTTGCAATGGACGTCAGCAACACTTTATCCAGACCTTTCTCCTGGCCTTAACTGAAATCATTCTCATACTAAAGATGCTTATAGCACTTACTGGTTTTACTAGAACTCTGAAGTGTAGACCTGCTTTGAGACTTACAGACAATAAAAAAATGAAGGTTATTGAGGCTGGAAAGATGACTCAGTGACTAAGAACACTTGCTGTTCTTGCAGAATACCTAGGTTCAGTTCCCAGCACCCACATGGTATCTCACTTACATACATGCAGACAAAAAACTCATATACATAAAAATAAAAATAAATAAATATATTTTTACAATGGAAATTATTCCTAGGTTCTATGTCATAAAAAATCTGACTCAGTAGATCTAGGGTGAGTCTTGAAAATCTGAACTTTTAAGACATCCTTAGATTTTTCTCCTATTCTTTTTAAAAAAAAATTATTTATTTTTATTTTATGTGTATGTGGATTTTGGCTGCATGATATTAGGTATACCACATACATACAATGCCTGCAGAGCCAGAAGAGGGTGTTGGAGCCCTTGTGGGTGCTGGGAACCAAACCTGCAAGAGAAACAAGTGCTCTTAACCACTGAGCCATCCTTCTAGCCCCTATTCTTACTTTTTTTAGACAGTCTCTCAGCATGTAGCCTTGGCTGGCCTGGAACTCACTGTAGTCCAAGCTAGCATTGAACTTAGAGTGATCCTGGCTTATAGAACCATGCATGGCTAGAATTCTCTCTCCCTGTCTCTTCCCCTCCCTCCTCTCTCTCATTCTTTTGGCTTTTTGACACAAGGTCTCACTATATATGCCAGGCTAGACTTGAACATGAGGCAATCCTCCTGCCTCAGTCTCCTGAATACATCCTCCACCATACCCAGAGCTCTTAGATTCTTTTAACTGTGTCTAGAGATTTGAGCCATTGGTCTGTCTACCCCATTGTTTTAGTTAGTGAGTCTATCCTCTTTTGCATCATTCAGTTTTGGAGTGCATTTGTTTTGTGTAAATTACATTGCAACCTGTTTCACACTTTGTTCTTCTATGGTGGCTAGCACAATAGACATACAATAGATGGTCAGTATATGAAAAGATTGAAGAGGCTTCAATTTGTGCATTAGCATTAGAAACTGTATTGTAGAGGACATATTTCTAGAAGAGATTCTAAACAGAAGTTTATAAGGTAGCTTACTGTGGGGTATTCTGAAAGGAAATACTCTAGAAAAACTAATGATTTATAGAACACTAATAATGTTAGTCTGTTGCATTGCCTGTATTGTATTTATTTACATTACAATAAAAGAGAAAGAAGATTAAATAACATCCATTAGTTTTCAAGTGATATTCCTAACAATTCCTTCCTATTCCTAACAATTAAAAATGAGATCACATTTTCCCATAAAGAAGTAGACATTTTACCCTTGCTGGTGGTAGGCAGTACTAACAGGCACTGTTTCTTGTTAGCCTGGATGTGCCCTCTGCATCCCTTTGAAGCACACTTGAGCAGGGGTCACCAGTCAGTCATATCAGCATGCTGTAGGAAACCTGTATGTAATCTGTGGCTTGTGAGACCAGGTGGGATGCCTCTGTAGCTAAAATGATAGTGTTAATGTGATCCTTATGCTAGAATTTCTTTAAGCACTTAGCAAGAAAAGGTTATTTAAAAACCAGGATGTGAAAAAGGGAAGCTCTCAGGTAAGTATTGTTTGAATTGACCTCTGTGTTTCTGGTATGACCTGTCTGTTTTCATGAGGGTTTGATATGTATGTCCTCAGAGCTTTCCTGAAGTGAGTGAACGTAAATGGTTTTCTCTGGAGTCCCTGCTCTGGTGCAGTAAGTGCCTCATGAAGACATGCAGGCCACGCACTGCTGCCTCGCTGCTGGTTGAAGTTTTATGCTTATTCTCAGCTGGATTGGAATCTCTTCTAGTTTTCTTAGGTTTGTGTTCATAGCCACAGAAGTTTTAAACCTGTGCACTCACCCACCTTGCTCATTGTTACCTCCCCTTTCTAATTGGAACTTTGTGTGTAATCAGTCTTCACACTTCTCCCTACACTTTCCAGGCCAGATGACGATGATGCAGAGAGTAGGAGCTCCAGGGTGACCCAACTTTGCACTTACTTTCAGCAGAAGTACAAGCACCTCTGCCGCCTGGAGCGAGCAGAGTCTCGTCAGAAGAAATGCCGGCATATGTTTAGGAAAGCGCTGCTGCAGGCGGCCAGTAAAGAGCCTGAATGCACCGGCCAGTTAATACAGGAACTGCGAAGAGCTACCTGCAATCGAACCAGGTTAGCACCACACCGACCCACCTGTTCCATTTTTGTTTTATATGACCTTGGAGGAGATAATTAAGGTATTATGTGAGGTGAACATTTAAGCTCCAAATAGCTTGGGCACAGTGTCTCGTTATGTAGCTCAGAAAGAGTGCTACAGAGGTGGTAGAAGAACACTGCCATGAGCTGACTGGAGTTAGAGCATTAGTGAGTTTTGTCCAGGTGTTGCATTAGTATTTATTCATTAAAGAGATTTGAGGACTGGAGAGATGGCTCAGCTGTTAAGAGCACTGGCTACTCTTGCAGAGGACCTGGGTTTGGTTCCTAGTACCCACGTGGCAGCTAACCATTTGTGACTCCAGTTCCCGGGGATATTGTGCCCTCTTCTGGCCTCCTTGGGCATTGCACACATGGGTGCACTTACATGTATGGCAAGACCCACTAATGCACATTAAATAATTTTATGAGTCCTGAAAAAGAGATTTGAGAATGTTGTTTGCTTTGTGAACATATTTGCCCAGATTGGCTTCAAGCTCTGGATCCTCTGGCCTCCATTTACTGAGTGCTGGGATTACAACATATGCCATTACTCCTGGCTGAGATTGTTGGCTATATTTAATTAAGCAAACACAAAACACAATACTTAAAATTTTGCTGTTATTTAAAATAATATTTATAATTAAAATATTTTTTTACTTACAGGTTTTTTAACCATGAAAGTAAACTAATATTTTCATTTTATACTAAAAGTACTTTTTTTTACTTTTGTTATTTATGCTATTTTTTCTGTATACTATCTTTTAATATGTACACTGTCTTACATATTATGTATACAGAATATTTTATTGCATTACATTTCTTTTTATTTTCTTTTTGCTTATTATTTATTTATTTATTTATTTATTTATTATCTTTTGAGACAGGGTCTCACTGTATAACTCAGGCTGCCACTGAACTTGAGCTCCTCTTGCATCTCAGCTTTCCAAGTACTAGGAATACAGGCATGTGCCACTATACTGGGAAAAACATGGTTTTTAATAACTGCATAATGAAAATGAAATGAAAAATCCTTAGACTTTTTCTGTTTATATATTTAAGCTAAAATTGACCTGTACTGTTTAAAAATTATGTGTTAACCTGATGTGATGGCATATACCCAGAATCCCAGAACTGTGGAGGCTGAGGCAGGAAGATTATGAGTTCAGATCTAGGCTTAGCTACATGGTTAAGACCGTATCACAAGCAAATGAAAGGAACCTACACAAAACAAAAGGTCTGTGTGCAGTTGTTTTTTTTTTTTTTTTTCCTTAAAGTTACATCATGGTGGTTTCACATTTTAACTCTATGTTGGCCTTGTAGGGTTCAGAATTTTATGTATTTGAGTGTATGTATGTATGTATATATGTGTATGCATGTATGTAAGTGCACCCCTGTTGTGCAGTGCCCAAAGAGGCCAGAAGAGGCCGCCAGATCCCCTGGAACTGGAGTTACAGATGGTTCTTAGCCACCATGTGAGTGCTAGGAACCAAACCCAGGTCTCTGCTCTTAACTGCTGAACCATCTCTCCAGCCCTGACTATTCTATGTTTTTGAGTATTCTTTTGAAAATATGACTTTATAATATTTATATAATATGCCATTTAATGAAAGTCTGCATATTGCAAATCAGTTTTCTGCTATTTTTTCCATTTTTATTGAATTTTTGCTAATTTCATTCACTACATTTTGATTGTATTTAGATTCCCCTCCCCTATCTGCACCTCCTCCCCTCAGTTTTCTACTATTTCGATGAAGAAATTTTGGTGTATTACCACTTGGAAGTTTATTTAAGTTGTGAAAATTTGAATGGAATAATAATTACTTGAGTTAGGGACCTTTTATACTCATACACATAAAATAAAAAGTAATAAAATATTTTAAAAAACAGTAGTTTATATTTATAATCAGAAATTTCAAAGTTAAAATTTCTAATCTCATTTATACAGCATGTATATTTTTTTATCATAATTGTAACTATTTTTTTGTTTGTTTTATTTTTTTCGTCTTTTTGAAACAGGGTCTCCCAGTAGCCTCAGCTGACCTGGAACTCACTATACAGACCAGGGTAGCTTTGAACTCACAGAGATCCACCTGGCTCTGCCTCCTGATTGCTGGGATTAAAGGCATGCATCAACACGCCAGGCTTTGTTTTATTTTTTGAGGCTGGATCTCACTAGCCCTGGCTGGCCTGGAACTTACTTTGTAGATCAGGCTGGCCTCAAATTCACAGGGACCTGCCTATTTCTGCCTCATAAATGCTAGGATTAAAGGCATGTGCCACCATGCCTGGCATAACTGTCTTTTAGTTTTATCTGAAATATTCACACATTTAAAAGCACTGAATTGAGTTAAAACATTTCTTTTTTTTTTTGTCCTTTTTAGACAGGGTCTCCCTGTAGCCCCAGCTGTCCTGGAACTCACTACATAGACCAGGCTGGCCTTGAACTCACAAAGATCTGCCTGCCTCTGCCTCCCAAGTGCTGGGATTAAAGGCATGCACCACCACGCCTGGCTAAAACATTTAACATCTTACTTTAAGGAAATTATTTCCCTTCCCTCTTTTCTTCCTTTCTTTCTTCATCATTTTACTCTGCATCCCCTGTTGGTATTGAACTTACAGTGACCTTCCTGTCTTCCTCCAAGTGCTGGAATTATAGGCATGTGTCATTATTGCTCAGCTAACCAAATAATTTTCTAATTTAGAAGGTCTTTTTCTGTATTGAGTTTTTAAAAATTTTATAATTTCAGGTGATAACTTTAAGGGCATATGTGTAGAAAAAAAGTAAGTTTATACACCAGGATATCTATAACTGATGGGATTATTGAAAGTTGAAAATTATTAGTTTGTATAGTCTTAAATTTTTCTTTTCTATTTATTTATGCATTTTTAAAGTGTACCAGTGTTTTGCCTGCAGGTATATAAGTGCACCCATATCATGTAGGCCCTATGGAGGCCAGGAGAGGGAGCATTGGATCCCCTGGAACTGGACTTAAGAGAAAAACTATAGTTAGCCACCATGTGGGTGCTGGGAAACAAACCATGGCTCTCTGCAAGAGCAGCCAGTGCTCTTAACCTGCTGAGCCATCTCTCCAGCACCTCTAATTTTTTTATAGTCATGAATTTCATGAGAAACTGATTAAATCTATTCTTGACAGTAATTTCCATGAATGCAGAAACAAAATATATTTAGTTCTTAAATCTTTAGTTGATGAACAGATGAATAGAATTTAATATGTATAGGTCTGTTCTCAATTAATTGAAACAATTCACTCAATTCAACACAGTTTTTTTCTTTTTTCTTTCTTTTTTTTGGTCTTTTTGAAACAGGGTCTCCCTGTTGCCCCAGCTGGCCTGGAACTTACTATGTAAACTAGGCTGGCCTTGAACTCACAGAGATTGTCTGCGTTTCCCTCCCAAGTGCTGGGACTACAGTGTGCACCACCATGCCTGGCCATCAACACAGTTTTTAAAATAATGATATCTAACATTTTGTGATATAATACTTTCAAGTGTATAATTTCAGTAGACATTGTATCACCAGTATAAAGCAATTTATATAGGCATTTTATACTTCAATTCTAATACATGATGATGATGATTTTGTCGAAGATAGAGGCATCCAATGAATTTGATGAGTTTGGTAGTATGGAAAACTGCATTTATGTCTTTCTTTTTGGTGGTGCTAGGGATTGATTGCAAGGCTTGGTACATACTAAAGTGTGTGGAGGTATATACCTCCAACTCTTCTATGATTCTTAATTTTTTTTTAATTTATTTAATTTTATGTGTTGAGTATTTTGCCTGCATGTATGCAAGTGCACCTGTGTCATGCAATGCCTGTAGAGGTCAGAAGAATGCATCAGATCCCAGAACTGGAGTTAAGGATGGTTGTTAGCCTCCATGTGGGTGCTGGGAACTGAACTTGGGTCCTCTTAACCACTAAGCCATCTCTCCAGCCTCCTTTTTCTATGGTTCTTAACTAACTTTTCAGAACACCTCCCAAACCAACTGTAGTTATATTTTTTAAAAAAATTAGTGATAGCGTTGCCAAATAACAAAACATCAAGGTGGACCCTGGGGGATATAGCTCAGTAGTCAAGTGCTTGACCTGCATGCATGAGGTTCTACGTTTGGTCTCCAGTAGCAGCAAAACCAAGCCTGATGACCTTAGTTCCATCCCTAGGATCCACATGGTAGAAGAGAACCAGCTCCTGCAAGTTGTCCTGTGACCTCTACACATGTGCTGTAGCATGTATGTACGTGCATGTACACACATGTTAAAGAAAACAAAAATTATTCTGGATTGTTAGAACACTTAAAACAATTAATATTATATTCTTCCTTTTTTAGCATCGGTCAGACCAAATTGAAGGAGATGGAGCCAGCACCGTGTAGTGGAACTGTGAAGGGTGAACAGTGCACTAACAAGGCCCTTCCATTCACCAGACATTGTTTCCAACGTATCCTTTCAAGAAGTATTAACTGGTTTTGGTCTGTGTGTGATTTTTCCGCTCCCTGGGCTAGAGGTGGGAACTTAGAGCCTTGCATATATTAGGCAACTGTTTTGCCACTGTAATTCATTTTAAAATCAAGTTAATGAAGTGGGGCATGGTGTCACACACCTTTAATCCCAGCATTTAGGAGGCAGAGGCAGGCCATCTCTGTGAGTTCAAAACCAGCTGGGGCTACAGGGAGACTCTGTCTCAAAAAGACCAAAAAAAAGAAAAGTGAATGACTTTTACCCCATTTTTTGATATAGTTTCACTATATAATTGAGGTTGGTCTCAAACATGTAGTCCTCCTGCCTCAGTATCCTCACTGTTGAGATTCCAGATGTTTGCTACCACCACACATAGCAAAAGACTTTGAAATCATAACTATTTCATAATTACAGTAATTATGTAATTTCATGATTACATAATTCCTAATTTTCATATAGACTTAATACTTTTCTGGTTATAGCATCATGTTTAATTTTTTAAACTTAAGTCTATATTTTATTCTCATACTGAGCTTAGAAAGAAATCATGAGTGCATAACGTTGTGCTGTTTTGTTGTCTCACATGGAACTTGAATCCAGTTTCTAGTTAGGATCTGGACCAGAGTCAAGAGGTCTGACTTATAACAAGATAAACAGAGCAGGTTCTCTTAAGGTTGCTGTTAAAGTATATCTCATTATTACAGGAATTCTGATCCATTAATTGTTTCCAGCTTATAAGAAGTAACTAACAATTATTGATAGAAAAATTGAATCACTTTTTTTTTAGCCAGGCGTGGTGGCACATGCCTTTAGTCCCAGCACTCAGGAGGCAGAGGCAGGTGGATCTCTGTGATCTCTGGTCTACATAGTGAGTTCCAGGCCTGCTAGGACTACAGGGAGACCCTGTCTCAAAAATACTCCCCTCCCTGCCCCGCCCAAAATTAAAATATTGTTTGAGATAGGGTGATAGGGTCTCAGGTAGCCCAGGCTGGTCATTATGTAGCCATGGATAACCTTGACCTTCTGATCCTCCTGTTGCTGGTATTACAGGTGCCACCATGAATGCTTTATGTGGAGCTAGATAACGAATTTTCTACATGCTAGGCAAGCACTCTACCAACTAAACTTCATTCTTAGCCCTTGTTTTTGTTTTTGTTTTGTTTTTAAGAAATGGTGTTCTGGAGGGGTATAGTGGCCCATATCTTTGATTCCAGCACTCGGGAGGCAGAGGTAGGCGCATCTCTGTGAGTTCAAGGCCAGCCTGATCTGCATAGTGAGTTCCAGCCCAGCTGGGGCTACAGGGAGACCCAGTCTCGAAAAGAGACAAAAAAAACCCCAGAAAACAAAACAAAACAACCCAATAATAATAATAATAATAATAATAATAATAATAATAATAATAAAATATTAAAAAAAAATAGAAGCCTCTTGGCTTTTAAAATTTTTTATTGAGCTTTTATATTTTCATACAATAGTTCTTAATCAAATTTAGACCCCCCCTCCCCCATCCATTCCTTTCCCATCCCTCCATTGAACCTCATTTTTATTTATTATTTTTATTTTATGTGTATGTGTGTATTGCCTGCATGTGGTTAAGTGCATCTGTGTTGCACAATGCCCGCGGAAGTCATAAGTGGCTGTTGGATCCCCTGGACCTGGAGTCACGGACAGTTGTTAGCTGCCATTGTGGGTGCTAGGATTCGAACCTGGGTCTTCTGCAAGATCAGTCAGTGTTCTTAACCACTGAGCCATCTCTTCAGCCCCTGGAAAGATTTGGTTTTATTTATGTGTATGTGTATCTGTGTATTTTTGTGAGTGTATGCCACCTTAGTGCAGGTGCTCAAGAAGACTAGAAAAGGGCATCAGATCTCCTGGAGCTGGAGTCACAGGCAATTGTGAGCTACCTGATGTGGGTGCTGGGAACCAAACTCCAGTTCTGTGGAAGAGCAGGAGATGCTCTCAACTGCCCCTCAAAAACCATTTTTATTCTTTGAAGAGTTACACAGTTTTACATTGTACCTTTTATTGTAGGATTAATTTGCTCTTTATAGTGAGTGCATTACTGATTTGCAATGAAATAAAAGTAATAAACACCACTGGTACAACATACTTGGAAAACATGTCAGGGAGCTAGTGATGAAATCTTAATACTCTCATATAAAAAATTATTTATTATTATTTTGTATGTGTACAGAGCTCCACCTGCCTCTGCCTCCCCAGTGCTGTGATTAAAGACATGTGCCACCATGCCTGACTAAAATAAAAGTTTTAAATGCTACTGTTTGCAATTTTTAGATTATTATATTAGGCCAGTGAGATGGTTAAAGGTGCTTGCCACTAATAACCTGAGTTTGATCCCCAGAGCCCAAATAAAGATAAGAGAGAATGGACTCTACAAGGTTGTCCTCTGACCTCTGGCATGTGTACCTGCAATATAACATAAACAATAAAATTCATACTTACAAAACATTCATAAGGCACATAGCAGATTTATTCAGATACTAAAAACTTAAGTAGTTTCAATGTGTTTTCTCCTGACTCACAAACCCCAGACATCCTCTTGAATCGCTCTCAGCAGCTCTTCTCCAGTTGCACCGCCAAGTTTGCAGATGGACAGCAGTGCTCTGTGCCAGTGTTTGACATCACACACCAGACACCTTTGTGTGAAGAACATGCCAAAAAAATGGTAAGTTCGGACTTGACTTTCTTCAGCTCGGCTTTTAAGCTTTTTTTTCTTTTTCTTTTCTTCTTTTTTTCTTCTTCATCATGTGGCCCTGGCTGGGTGGCCTGGAACTCTATGTAGACCAGGCTGGCCTCAAACTCACAAGAGATCTGCCTGCCTCTGTCTCCCTAGTGCTGAGATTAAAGGCATGTCACACCTGGCAGCTCTCAAACTTTTAATGGCTATTCTTAATGGGGAAGAAAAATTATGGATATATATATATAAGTCATTGAAAAAAGTTTTGTGAAAACAGCCATTTTAATACTTCAAACTTTCTGGGTGATGCTTTTGACTAAAAATTTTCAAAATGTTAGCCAAGTGTCGTGATACACATCTTTAATCTCAGCACTTGGTAGGCAGAGGCAGGTGGATTTCTGTGAGTTCTAGGCCAGTCAGGGCTGCAATGTGAGACCTTGTCTCAAAATAAGTAAGTTTAAGTAAGTAAATAAACATGTTGTGATTAGCCATTGAACTTGAGACCCTCTTTAGCTCAGAGTGGTGGCACACCCAGTTAATCACAGTACTTGGCAGGTAGGTGGATCTCTGTAAGTGTAAGGCCAGCCTGGTCTACATAGCAAGTTCAGGCCGGCCAGGGCTATATAAGGAGACTCTGCCTCAAAACAAAACAAAACAAAAACTTCCCACTGTTTTAGAAAATATTTAGTATAGGTTGAATAGCCCTAATCTAAAAATCCAAAATCTTTAAGATTCCTGTGTGACATGACACTCAAAAAATATAGATTTTGGAGCCTTCCAGATTTTGGTTTGCAGAATTCTAGAATAAAGATGCTTATATGCAAATTTTATGCAAATATTCAAAAATTTCAAAATACTTCTCCCTCAGTGTTTCAGATGAGAAATACTAAACTCTTGATTATTTAGAAAAGATCATTTTCAAAATCATCTATCCAAATTCTATGTATCACATCCACCTATGTGCTTAATAATAAATGAAAAACATACATTTTCTTATATATAGAAAATTCTGCAAACGCTTTTATTTGGCCTTATTTCTCTAGGTTTTGTTTTTTTTTTTTTCTTTCTTATAAGGAGCTCTGTGAATGTTTTGGATAATTAATAAAATTTAGGCAAAATGCCAAGCCCTTGTATAATTTTGTTGTACTTAATTACTGCTGTAGTTAATGCTGGTATTGTAAACTCTAATTAATCCAGAATAATTTAGAGGAGAGACAAGTTTGAAATAGTAAAATATCTGAATTGTGTAATAATTTAAAATAAGCTCATTTTGGGGCAGAGATGTAGTTCAGTAGTAGAGTACTTCCTATCATGATCAAGGTTCTAGGTTTGGTGCCAGCGTGGGAGAAAAACTGCTCAAAGTTGATTTATATTGTTTTCACCCATTAAGCAGTTATTGCAAGATGCTGTGCTAGGTACCCTCTTGTACTGAAAGGCCAAGCAACACACTGTGATCTCAGAGCACGTACAGTTTCTTGGTTACATCAGGATCATGGGCATCTGGTCTGTGTCTCTGGCTTTGCCATTAGTTGAAGGTGTAACCAGGCAAGGAGTCAGTCACCTTTCCAGATCCGTTTTTTATGTTAATAACTCAGTGGCTTCACCAAGAACTTCTTTTGTGGTTAATTTTGTTGTTGTTGTTGTTGTTTTGTTTGCTTTTGTGTGTAAGAGAGACAGGGTCTCCCTGTAGCCTCAGCTGTCCTGGAACTCACTATGTAGACCAGGCTGGCCTTGAACTCATAGAGATCTGCCTCTCTCTGCCTCCCAAGTGTGCCACCACGCCCAGCCATAATGGTTTTTTAAAAACATTTTATTTATTTTTATTTTATATGAATGAGTGTATTGTCTGCATGTATGTAAGGTCACCCATGTCATGTAATGCCCATGGGTCAGAAGAGGGCCCCGGATCCCCTGGAACTGGCATTACAGATGGTTGTTAGCCGCCATGTGGGTGCTGGGAACCCAAGTCCTCTGCAAGAGCAACCAGTGCTCTTAACCACTGAGCTATCTCTCCAGTCCCATGGTTATTTATTTACTTATTTATTTTTGGTGTTATTGTTTACTGAAACGTGGGCCTTATACATTCTAGGCTGGTGCTCCATCAGTGAGCTATGCCCAGCCCTCCAAATGTCTTCAAGTGTATCCCAGACCTCAGGAGGCAGAGGCAGGCAGACCCCTGTGAGTTCCAGTCCAGCCTGGTCTATATAGTGAGTTCCAGGACAGCTGGGGCTACAGGGAGACCCTGTCTAAAAAAGACCTAAAATAAAATAAAATAAAATAAAATAAAAATTACACATTTGTGGAGTAATGTGTTGTTTCAGTACAGGTATATGTTATATAATATTTAAATCAAGTAAAACAATATCTTAAATACTTAACTTTTATTTATTTTTCTTTTATGTGTATAAGTATTTTAGCTATACTTATGTAAGTGTATTCATGTTGTGCAGTACCTGTGGAGACCAGAAGACAGCACTGAATCCCCTGGTACTGGAGTTTTATAGATGGTTATTAGCCTCCATGTGGGAGCTGGGACCTGAATGCGGGTCCTCTGCAAGAGCAGCCAGTGCCTTTAGCCTCTGGACCATCTCTCTAGCCCTTTTTTCAGTTTGTTTGTTTGGTTGGTTTTTTTTGTTTTTTGTTTTTTTTTATTTTGAGACAGGGTCTTGAGTTGCCCAAGTTGACCTTGAACTTCTGACTCTTCTGCCTCCACCTCTTTTTTGGTCTTTTTGAGACAGGGTCTCCCTATAGCCCCAGCTGGCCTGGAACTCACTATGTAGACCTAACTGGCCTTGAACTCACAGAGATCCGCCTGCCTCTGCCTCCCGAGTGCTGGAACTAAAGGCGTGCACCTCCATGCCCGGTTTTCTGCCTCCACCTCTTAAGTGCCAGCACCACACCTAGTTTTACGTGATGCCATAGTCCAAACCCAGGGCTTTGTGCACACTAGGCAAGCACTGAGCTAAGCCCTCAGCCCCTCATTTGTTTGCAGTAAAATCTTTTTTTGTTTGTTTTTTTTTGGTCTTTTTGAGACAGGGTCTCCCTGTAGCCCCAGCTGTCCTGGAACTCACATTGTAGACCAGGCTGGCCTTGAACTCACAGAGGCTCCGCCTGCCTCTGCTTCACGAGTGCTGGGACCAAAGGCGTGCGCTACCATGCCCAGCTCTTCAGTAAAATCTTTTTAAAATCCTTTTGTTTAGTTTTTGAAATGTATAGATTATTGCCATCTATAATCACCTTGCTGTGCAGTATACTGCACACCAGGAGGGAGGGATGGAGCGGGTTAGCTAATGGACAGTCTCATTAAAAAAAAAAAAAAAAATCTTTTTATTCCAAAGGACAATTTCTTGAGAGGAGATAACTCCCGTAAAGTTCAGCACCAGCAGCAGAGGAAACCCAGGAAAAAAACCAAGCCTCCTGCACTTACCAAAAAACACAAGAAGAAGAGAAGGCGTGGACCTCGTCGACCCCAGAAACCCATCCCCCCCGCAGTCCCCCAAGGGAACCTCAGCATGCCCACCAGCGTCTCACTGCCAGTGGAGGCCTCTCATATCCGGTCAGTGGTGGCGGTGGGATTTGCTTTTCCTGTATCCCATCTGATCTCAGAGTATGTCTGCTGTGCCTACCGCAATGTTGGTACTAGTAAAGCCTAACCTAAACCTTTTTTATGGTGTCACATGCAACTTTATCAATGGTTGTCTGAGTTTGTGGCAAATTTTATGTGTCAGAAGCTTTTTAATGATAGCAAAGAAAATAGATACTGAAGTTGAGAATTTAATTGTATGCTCAGGTTTTTCTGTTTAAAGGGAATTTCAAATAGACTATTTTAAAGAGAAAGTTAGATTGCATGATGATATTTATAAATTTTTAGACTTCTCAGTGGTTTATTTTGTTGTTGTTGTTGTTGTTGTTGTTTGTTTTTGGTCTTTTTGAGACAGTGTCTCCCTATAGCCCCAGCTGGCCTGGAACTTACTATGTAGGCTGGCCTCGAACTCACAGAGATCTGCCTGCCTCTGCCTCCTAAGTGCTGGGATTAAATGCATGCACCACCGTGACCGGCATGGGAAATGATACATGTTATAACAGAAACCTTCCATTAGGAATATGAGGCATTATTAATTTTGGCAGACTTAAACATTTTGACCAGATGAGTGAAATTTCTGTTATTCTACGCATTTCAATTTTACCTATTTATTTCATTTGAAACTTATTATATTTTATTTATTTTTAGTTTTTGTGTTTAAGTGTATTGCCTCCATGTGTATAAGTGCACCCATATCATGCAGTGCCCATGATTGGAAGAGGACATCAGATCCCCTGGAACTGGAGTTGTGGATGGTTGTTAGCTGTCATGTGGGTGCTGGGAATCGAACCCAAATCCTCTGCAAAAGCAGCCAGTGCTCTTAACCACTGAGCCTTCTCCCCAGACCCGAAACTTATTATCTTGACTAGATTTTAAATTCAACTAAAAGAGATATACTAAATGGCGATTCATCCTGCTAATTTGAAGTAAAAATATCATGTAATAATGATTGTCTTTTATTTAAAAAATATATTTACTTTTGGCTGGGCGTAGTGGTACACGCCTTTAATCCCAGCACTTGGGAGGCAGAGGCAGGTGGATCTTTATTACAGGGATTGGACTCTTGGTGGGTCCATTGGATGGATCCACATTGAAGGACATTTGGGGACTGTAATATATATTGTATATTACATATATATATATACACACACACACACACATATATGTATGTATATATTTACTTTTATTTTATGTATATATCGCCTGAGTGTATGTATGTGCACCATGTGCATGTTTGATGCCTGAGGAGGCCAGGAGAAGCTGTTAAATCCCCCAGACCTGGAGTTATAGGTGGTTGTGAGCTACCACGTGAGTGCTGGGAACTGAACCTGGGTCCTCTTCAAGAGCAGCAAGTGCTCTTAGCTGCTAAGCCTTCTCTAGTCCCATAAAAATTGCCTTAATCATAGGTAAAGATTGCAGGAATTTGTCACTACATATAGTGAGGTCTGTCTCTGTAATGTCTTGCTTTCAAATTTCCTTCTCATAAAGTAAGGAAGGAATATGGGTTTTGCTGTTGTTGTTGAGATAGGATTTTGTGTCTCTCTAGGTGGCCTCAACTCATTATGTAGGGGAGGTTGACCTTGAACTTCTGATCCTCCTGCTTTTACCTTCTAAGTACAGGGATTATAGGCATGCATCACCACCTGACTTGGGAAGGAGTCATTTTATGTTAAGGTCTCCCATGTTTGTATTGAATGTAAAGAGATTCTGAAAGAGGGATTGGAGAGATGTCTCAGTGGTTAAGAGCACTGGCTGCTCTTGCAAAAGATCTGCTGGGTTCAGTTCCCAGCATCCTCAAGGCAACTAACAACCCTCTGTAACTCCAGTTCCAGGAGATACAATGCCCTATTCGGGCCTCCATGGGCATTGCACCATACAGGTACACTTAGATACATGCAGGCAAAATATTTATACATATAAAATTAAAATAAATCAATTTTTAAAAAATAAGAAATTATGAAAGACATTAGTTTGTGTTGGACATGAATGGGAAGGTGAAAGGGCAGTCTCAAGACCTCAACTTCACTGTCTTTTCAGGAGCCCTTCCACGCCAGAGCTGAGTGCTGATGAGCTGCCGGATGACATTGCCAATGAGATAACTGACATTCCACACGACTTAGAATTGAACCAGGAAGACTTTTCAGATGTCCTGCCACGGCTACCTGATGACTTACAAGATTTTGATTTTTTCGAAGGTATGGTCGGTGTTCTACTTAAGGCAGCTGATTTAAAAAAATGAGTTCATACTTTTTTTGTCTTTTTGAGACAGGGTCTCCCTATAGCTTCAGCTGGCTTAGAACTCACTATGTAGACCAGGCTGGTCTTGATCTCACAGAGATCCACCTGCCTCTGCTTCCCCACTTCTGGGATTAAAGTTGTGCTCCACCACACCTGGCCCTGTTAGTTTTGAATTTTAAAAACAAGATCTCATTACATATCCCAGGCTAGCCTTGAACTCAGAATCCTCTTAGCTTCTGGAGTGTTGAGATTACACCCAGTGCCACCACATTCATGCTTGGAATTATTGTGTGTATATGATGTATGTTTAGATGCCCACAAGTCCTGGCACACATGTTGAGACTAGAGGACAACTTGTGGCAGTGGGCTTTCTCCTTCCACCTTTAAGTGGTTCCAGAGATCAAATTCAGGTTGTTAGTCCTGAGTGGCAAGTGTCCTAACCCACTGAATTAACTCAGCTCCCTCCCCATGACCCATTTTAAGTGAAATAGCTTTAAATTTTTAAATTGAATTTTATTTTCGTGTGTGTTTGCCACATGTCTGCAAAGGGTGTTGAATCTCCTGAAGTTGGTGTTGCAGGCAGTTGTGAACTGCCCAACATGGATGTTGGGAACTGAACCTGGGTCCTTTGAAAAAGCAGCAAGTGCTCTTAAGTACTGAGCCATCTCGCTAACCCTGATGAAATAGTTTTTTTGAAGTGTGTCTAAAATGTTTTTCCTATCATAAAATGTTTATCACTGTAAATTTAAAAAAAATTACTGAAACTATTATCCTTTTTTGAAGGTAAGAAATATGTAATTCGTTTAACCATACTGTGTACTTAGTATATTTGTTCTTTGATAACTACTATATAATTTTGTTCTGTTAAAGTGAATAATTTTCCTTTATTTTTTGGACAGTGGTATCAAAACATAAGTTTATTAAAGTCTTTTAGAACTTGACCCATCTTTGGAGCCAGGCATGTTGGCTCATGCCTATAATCCCAGCACTTGGGATCACAGCCATTATTTATTTTTTTAATCACCAAAAATTAATTATCATCATGGTAATTAATCAAATTTGTAAGAAGGGATATGTATGTATGTATGTATGTATGTATGTATGTATGTACGTATGTTTTGGTGCTACTGGGGCTTGAACCTAGGGACCCTCACATGTGTTAGGTAAATGTTCTACTACTGAGTTACGACTCCTGAAAGAATGGATCCACACACTCTCTCACACACACACACACACACACACACACACACACACACACACACACACATACCACATATGTAAATTAACTAGTTATTTTTATGTGTATGCATGTTTTGCCTGCATTTAAGTGTGTGTGTATTTGTGTGTGTATACCTTGTATGTGCCTGGTACCTGTGAAGGTTAGACCCCTGGAAGTGAGGGTATAGATAGTTGTGAGATGCCATGTGGGTGCTGGGCCACTAAACTTGGGTCCTCTGCAGGAGCAGCCAGTGCTCTTAACCACTGAGCCAACTCTCTAGCCCCAAGAATAGATATTTTAAATATTGCAGATGAAATTAAAGTTGGTTCATCGACTCCACAGGCAATTCATTCATTCATTCATTCATTCATTCATTTATTTATATTTTTGTCTTTTTTGAGACAGGGTCTCCCTGTAGCTCCAGCTGGCCTAGAACTCATTATATAGACCAGGATGGCCTTGAATTCAGAGATCTGCCTGCCTCTGTTTCCGAGTGTTGGCGATTAAAGGCGTGTGCCACCATGCCCAGCTCAGAGCCTTTATTTTTTTATGTTAACGATATTGATATTAATTTAGGTAAAAATATGCATAAACAAATGATCACCATGAGTTTTAAATTGGCAATCTTTAGCGTTCCTGAGAATTTAACATTCTGGGGCTAGACAGATGTTTCAAATGTCACTAGCATTTGCTGCTCTTCCAGAGGATTCTAGCACTTACATTTCATAGCTCTTGTCACTCCAGCCCCAGGGGATCTGACATCCTTTCCTGGCTCTGAGGGTATCATTACACACAAGGTTGACACTGACATAGACACACACATGTACTCATAAATTAAAAAGAATGTAACATTCTATATAATAGAATCTTTAGGATAAATAAAGACTGAAGTTACAGGATAGGTGGATAGGTGATCTGAGAGCTGCTCCTGCAGATCAATTTTCCACCTTCTCCTTTAAATCCCATTATGAGAAACTTCTCAAGAACTCTTTTTTTTTGAGACAGGGTCTTCCTGCAGCCCCAGCTGGCCTAGAATCTATGGATTAGGCTGGCCTCGAACTCACAGAGATCCACCTGCCTCTGTCTCCAAGTGCTTAGATCAAAGGTGTGCCACCACATCTGGCAAGAAGGCCTCTCTTTTGATAGGGGATTGTTGAAAATAATTCAGATGTGAGAGTTTTGCAGTAAAAATCAGTTAGGTGCTCTGCTGATTCTTGATGGCTTCTGTTGATCCAGGAAAGAATGGAGATCTCCTCCCGACCACCGAAGAGGCTGAGGAGCTTGAGCGGGCCTTGCAGGCTGTAACTTCTCTCGAGTGCCTGAGTACCATTGGAGTACTTACCCAGTCAGATGGTGTGCCAGTCCAGGAGTTGTCAGATAGGGGGATAGGAGTGTTCTCCACCGGTACCGATGCTTCTGGAATCCAGTCCTTGAGTCGAGAAGTAAACACAGACCTAGGGGATCTACTGAATGGGCGGATACATGATAATTTTTCTAGTTTAGAGCTGGATGAGAACCTGCTCCGTTCTGCTACCTTGTCTAACCCACCTACACCCCTGGCAGGGCAGATCCAGGGGCAGTTCTCCGCCCCAGCCAACGTTGGCCTTACTTCTGCCACTCTGATCAGCCAGAGTGCACTTGGGGAGAGAGCCTTCCCAGGACAGTTTCATGGACTTCATGATGGCAGCCATGCCTCCCAGAGGCCACATCCTGCCCAGCTGCTGAGCAAGGCAGATGACCTAATCACCTCACGACAGCAATACAGCAGTGATCATTCACACTCCTCGCCCCATGGAAGCCATTATGATAGTGAGCATGTGCCGTCTCCCTACAGTGACCATATCACCTCTCCCCATACAACATCTTACTCTGGTGATACTTTGGCAGCTACGTTTTCAGCAGAGATGCCCATCATGGCACAGCACTTGCTCCCAACCCAGCTTGAGGTGCCACTTGGAGGAGTGGTAAACCCCAGAACTCACTGGGGGAATCTCCCCGTCAACCTTGGCGATCCCTCTGCATTTAGCAACCTCCTTGGCGCGGATGGACACCTTCTTTCCACTTCCCTCTCCACGCCACCCACCACGTCCAACTCAGAGACCACACAGCCTGCCTTCGCCACTGTGACCCCCAGCAGTTCCAGTGTGCTTCCGGGGCTACCACAGACCAGCTTCAGTGGCATGGGGCCTTCTGCTGAACTAATGGCCTCCACCTCCCCCAAGCAGCAACTCCCACAGTTCAGCACAGCCTTCGGCCACCAGCTGAGTTCTCACAGTGGCATTCCTAAGGACCTGCAGCCCAGCCACAGCTCGATAGCCCCTCCTACAGGCTTCACAGTAACAGGTGCCACGGCTACAAGTACCAATAATGCATCGTCCCCCTTCCCCTCCCCTAACTGAAAGTGTCTGTGTCCTTGCAGGCAAGTGGGAAACCCGGTGTTTTCTATCTTCTTTCCTCTTTCGCAACCTTTCCCCTTTTCCTACAGAAGATTTAAAAGTAACAGCTGGGGATTAGAGGGGCTCCCCCTTCCCCATTCAACAAGTGGCCGTGCAATGGACCTTGCAGCAGTGTTCACGTGCGCTCCTTAGCACTGGTGCTCATTCCCTCCTGGCGGGTCCTCTCGGCCTGGTGGTTTCTTTGCTGGTTCAGCACAGTGACTGGATAGGATTAATATTTTGTTTTGTTATTTTGCAGCAAGTCCTAGAAGTGGAAGATACCTCAGATTACCAGTGCCCTTTACTATTTCATAGTGTTCAGATCAATGCTTTCCATTCTATAGCCAGGTTTTTACATAGGTGGTTCTAGATAGAATGATCCTATTAAGATCCTGTGTAGCAGGTGGTGTGTGTAGGCAGATCAGGGCTCTGACTTAGCACCAACTGCTAGACATCACCGTAAGACCAGGACACCATTCCTAATTATGATATGGTTAACTAAAAAAAACAAAATCGTCTTTTGACTGCCTGTGAGTGTGTGTGCACATGTGTGTGCTCTGTGCAGTGCAGGAAGTAGCTGTCCCGTTGTATTTCTTTTTTCACTCCCAGAATGAGCATAAGGCTCTTTTCTCCTTCCTTTCATCTCATACCTAGCAAGGTTGGTCATCCATCCCTGAATAGGGAAGAGGTGGTCTGGTGGTGTGAATAGCATAGCCCTTTTCTGCTAAAAAGTCAGCTCATGAAGAAACAGGACACAAAAAGCTGAATTCACATCAGTGATGGAGGAATGTCATGAAAACGTTACCTGGCTTGGCTGCAGGGTTGCCAAGGTTCAGGGCCTCACAGTCACTCTGCCTTTTTGGTGTGCATTTGTTTCTAAATCTCTCACTCTTGGAACACATTTACAAGGTGTAATTAAAGAATATTTTGATGTGAAAAGGCAGGGTAGGTCAGATCAATTTGAAAGACAAAAATCTGTGAACTACTTGGTCCATCATTTGCTTTTAATTTTTTTTATGTTTATAGTTGTGGTTCTTCAGTAAGATTTGTAAAATGTTCAAGACACTTGTAGAATTGGTGTACCAGTTGTGAAGTGATGTGTAATATTGGAAGGATACACATTTTAAAGTTTCTTTCAAAGCAGAATATGGAAATTAGACATAAATTTTAATTATGTTAGGTACTTTTAAAAATAATCCAAGTTCTTAAGTTGGAGTAAATTTGGAAATCATTTGGGGAAATTGTTTTAAAGTACCAAGGTTTTAGGGTTAAAACCATTGGGTAGTGTATTAAGCGTGACTGTGAAATGGCTTGTAGGACTTCCTCTTGTCTGCCTCCCCCTGTCCAGAGAAGGGTGGAGCGTGATTTTCTACTCTATGCTTGCTGAAATATTTCACTGTCCCTTAAAATCCTGATGGTTATTCATACCTGTAATGATGTGATACAGTCATTCTTTCGTCAGAGACTGTTGGATCCTAATCTTTCCCAGAGGTGAAGATTGGGACATAGTCCCCTGCTTCTCATGTGTGTTTTCTTCATGCCATGATAGTTTAATCAGTCCCTTTTGAAAGCTTTTCTTTCTCTGCCTCGTAAAGGAATGATGGTGATCAGCAGGCATTATGCAGATACCACGTGCCTGAGATTTTGGAGGGAAAGTGTCACATGACTATGAAATCATGATAAACCCTATTTTGTATTTATTAAAGTTGGGGGGGGCAAAATATGTTTGTAATATATTTACTTTTTTTTAAGAAATCATGTTAGTTAATTGGAACATTTATTTTTAATAGCTTTGCCTTTTTTGCAGATTGAGAAATTTCTAAATTATAAACTATGTCACAAAGCAAAATTATATTTGGTATCACCATGAGTTTCTATCCTAAATGGTGAGAACTGATATTTGACTACTTCTCACCTGTGAACCTATGTCAGTAGCTTTTTTTATTTTAGTGCACTATAAAGAAATGATAGTGAGTGGTTACCTCGGCTCAAAAGTGTCATTTAGTTTGCTAAGCTATTCTCACACCCATTATAATCATCACTAGATAACTGTATTCCCAGAAAATTTGTTTTGTCTCTATTGTGTATTAATTAAAGGGATTAAGGGTTGTCATAGAGTAGCTCATGGACTTCCTTATCAGCCCCTCTTCATAGGTAGTTGATAAGAACTGTTTCTGGATATTTATCCCTCATGTTAGCTGCTTAAAATTCTTTAGTTGTCAAAACTGAGTTTGCAGTAGGTTGCACATTTTATTGTTTGCAATTTTCTGTTTTATGTGCATTTAAAGCCCTTCTTTGCTTTCGAGTAAGGAGGCACGAAGTGATCAGGAATGTTGCCAGTTACAGCTTCACACCAAAAATGTTGAATAGACTCACTTGTTTAGATGGGCATGATGAAGGCTGAAGAAAGGGCATCTTAGAAAGTACTGGTGTAGGATTGGATAATTAATTAAAAACCACATTTTCCCCTTTTCATCTACTTCAGACATAACCTCCAAGCTTGCAGTTGGCTGTTCTCTTGCTTTTCTTGTGAGTCCCTTGTTGGAAGAATATCTATAAGCCCAGAGATAACCGTTTTGCTTCTCTTCTAGCTATTGAAGCAATTATTGTCTATTAGTAGTAGATGGGGTATTAATGTGCAAAGAAAGAAATAAAGCATCTTTTACTCCAGATAGATGAACATAGCACTTATGTTATGGTAAGGCAGTACTGGAATCAAAAATCTTACACAAGGTCCTGATGAGTGTTGATGAGAAACTGTGGTAAAGAAGATTCACTCTGTCCTTGCAGTTCTTTGGGACCATTTGTAAAGGCCAGTTAGATTATGTTACTGTGATTTCCTTTCCTAAGTTGCTGCAGTTACGGATGCATTCTGTGCCCAGAGGATCTGAAACTCACTGACTGTGATCTGTAGCATCCAAAGGAAAGACGGGCTTTCTCTCTTTTAACTGTTAATGTTATTTTGGTAAAAGTACTAAAGACATTGTTTTTTCTTCTGTAAAAATGGCTTAGCAATTTTCATGTCTAGTTAGCTTAGGTAGCTAGTCAACAATTCAGGATAGTAGAGAGCAATTGTACCTAACCCATCAAGTGACAGACTATGCAATGGAAAAACCTAGTTATCATCGCATAGCTTATAAGCAAAGGATTATTTTCTCTAGTGAGCCTGTTGTGTATAGTGTACCTGCTTTGTAAGTGACCTGAGCAATTTTATGTTGGCAGGCAGCGTGCTATGTCTAGTGTCCCTCTGTGAAAAGATTATGGGTGGATGAGAAGCAGATAGAAGGAAAGGCATGGAGGTCAAATTGGAAAGTGGTTTTGTTTTATATTCCTTACAGTTGGTGTTAGCATCTTTAGGGGCTTACAGTTAAGGAAAGCTAACATTTTATCTTTGCCAAGTAACTATAAGATTTACCTTTTAAAGGAAGTCAGACTTTCAACTGAAAGTTAGGAATCACCATCTTCCATGAGGAACACTAAAGCCTTTCCTTTCCAGAGCTTGTTTTCAGTCCAGGGTCACAGTCCACACTGGTAAAGACAGTTCTTTAGTTAGACCATGTCCGTGCTAGGTATAAGCATCCTGTCCATAAGCTTTCTTCTACATGAAAGTTACATTTCTGTTGACCTGTAGCATGAAATTTTTTTAATTGGTGTTAGAATTTGGGCATGTGGAAGGGAAGCCCTTACTACCATTCCCTTGACTCTTGCTTGTGATCCTTGTGCCCCAGTGTCCTGGGTGACCCTGGCATCCTGGGTGGCAGTGGTTGATGGGCTTCATCAGCAGTGTTGGCCTGAAGCCTTTTCTCTATCTTAGTTGTGCATTGATAGTGCAAAAACATGAGGGTATTAACACTAAACTGTTTTTAATAGGTTTAGAATTCACTAGGATTTTAAAAAGTATCTACTTTCTTAATTTCTTCTTTTTTTTTTCAGACTTTAAAAATTCTATTAAATTCCATTCTTAATCTGATGTATGTGGGATAATCTAATTGAGTGGTCTGCTGAATGGTGAACAGAACTCTCCAGTTTAATGAGGAAATGTAGGGGCTTCTTTGAAAGAAAATTTAGTTGGTGTGAATATCCTTCATTTGTATCTCCTTCATTACCACTGCCCACATTGTTCTAAGGATTTCTTCTTGTCAGAACTAGTTTATCCGTTCATGAAAGCCCCCAACCCATTAAATTGAAAGTAACTGAATCTTCACTGGGATTCTATAGAAAAGAAAAAATAATGATTTCTTCTTGGCTTCTTTAAGCTTTTCTATATTATATTCTGGAGGGAATTGAAATCACATTTAGTAGATTAAAGTAATATTTTAAATGCTGTCTTTCAAAAGATTTTTAAATAAAATATCAGTGAGCAGAACAGATGGCTGTCTGTTAAGCATTTCCCCCAACCAGTGAGTTAGGGAAGAAAACTTAGGAATATTAGTTAATGCCTCTTCTAGTAACCAGTGGCATTAGTGCTGCAATTGTGGGTCACACTTAGGGAGCTTTTCTTTTTTTCACTCCGGCTCATATTTTTGGTCCGCTTTCCTCTTCTGCACTGTGATAAGGAGCCAATATAAGGAGATGTGGCTTTTCAGAGATAGAAATTTGTTATGACTTTATCTACCCTGTGTTCCCAAGCTTCACCAATGCTTGGAATAGTTTGAAGAACAGATCTAAAATGATCTTTGAGTAATCTAAAGTTAGTCTGAAAGACAGTCTTGTAAGAGAAGAATCTGTTTGACTCTTGGAGGCTGCCTTTGGCAGCGTGCTTTCTTTCCTTCCTCCCTCTGCCTGTTTGCACACCCAACCCCGTGCCACATGGTGCACGTGCACACCACATGAGCCATACTGATCTTGGCTGAAGAGTGATAGAAACTTCTTTCACTTGGGTTTTTTTGTTGTTCTTATTTGTTTCTTTGTTTTTTAAGCTGGGGACCACTGAAGTAAGCTCTATATGCACCCACAGTTCGCCATGGAAAACTTCTCAACATGCAGGGTGGACGGCTCCAGTGCAACTAAAGCCCACACCATTGCTTTTCCTTGGGATATAGACTGATTTGCCCCAAACATCTCCACCCTGCACCATTAAGGTACAGTCGGCTCCAGCAGGTTTAGTGCTAACATGGCTAGGGAGCTTGACACTTGCTGACAGTGTGTGCATCTGTTCCTCTCAACAGTGATGGCTCTTCTCACTGTATAGTGTTGAGTATGTCTCAGGGATTCCTTGTGGAAATTAGGGCAGTTTTTAAAACAAGAAAATAGTTTTCAAAGAAACTAAAGGTGACTCATCATTGAAGAGAGCTCGAGAGAGAGAACATTTGGTTCCGTCATAGCCACGGTGTCTCGCCTAGGACTCTTTCTTTCTACTTCAGGCTCTCATCTCAGCTTCAGCATACAGAACCCTTTCCCATCATGCACAGCTTTAAACTTTTATTTAAAACTTCCTCCCCCAATGAGCTTTCAGAATACTTATTGTAGATTTTAAGAGAAAGGTATATTAATTTATACTATTAACATCACCTCATAAATTATAAGTTTTATACTAAAGCTGTATTGAGTGTAATGAATTATGTTGCCTATGTGTTTTAATAGCTAAAAAATTATAGCCTTTTTATTTTTTTTTTTTTTTTTTTTTTTTTAAAAAAAACAAAACTAGTGAAGCACCTTTTTACACTGGATCTTTGCCGTGTCAAGGTGTATAGCTATCCTTTGCTACCTTGCAGATATATAAAAGAAAAGGATATCCTGGGGCCTCAAAATGTAGAACACCTTTAGACCATTTATTATTGCTCATAGAACTGTTGAGAATCATGTTCTTTAGTAAATGATCTGTGGTTTACACTTAAGATGGCTAGAAGCTTAGTTACAGGGTAAATAGAAATAAATAGATCAAGTAAAACTCCAACTACTGTAGCTGGAATTTGTAAACTAAGTTTTTAAGACCTTTTATTTCCTATGGATTTATTCTTTAATTTACAGTTTATTCTGTAAGTTGGGAAGTAAAATAGAGAAAATAATAAATCTAGATGTTCTCAGTGTCTTATTCAGGAACTTTTTTATCCCTCCTCACTAAGGAATTCCCACTGTGACTTAAAATAGAAATTAAATTACTTGTGTGCATGTATATGTCTGTGTTTTTACACACATGCAAAAATATACATTGGGGGCACATGTGTGAGATATGAATGTGTGCTGTGTAAAAATAGAAAAAGGTAACCGAATGTATTATAGAAAAATGATTTACTTAGTTGGGGGTATTAGAGTTACTTTCTCCTTGTTTCTATTTTATAGACATAACATATTCTTCATTATGTTATATTTTGTTAAAAGGCTAGCTCTGATATCATGTGCATTTTATTTTAACCTTTGGATTAACTTATGCTGTTTTTAAAGTGACATGAGAAATAGCAGATTCTAAGACCAGTCTCATAATTGTGAGCATAAAAGCAAGAGAGGAAGACACAGACAGATAGACAAACAGACAGACAGACAGAGCAGTGTTTATCTGTTGAGGTGACGGGACCAGAGACTTGTTGAAGCTTTTTTATGTCAGTTATAAATTTTCTTCATTTCTGAGTAATAAAATATTATTAATGATGTTTTCTTGGTAAAGTTAAGAAAAAAAATAGGCCTTTCATAAAGTTTTCTAGGGGCTGCTTTGTTCAAGGAGTTGGTAGGCTCATTTCATCATGTGTATTTCAAAGCTGGGGTGATTTCAGTTCTTTCCAAAACATTTTTAAAAGCTTAATTGTGTCATTGGTTATGAAGTTGGAGTGCCCCTGCTCCCATCTGTTTTCTGTAGGAAAGAATCATGCTGCCCTTATGCTTACCTGATTCATGTGGAACTAAAAAGAAAAATACATTCCTGTATTTTGAGTTTCAAGTTGTCATTTTGCTGTACAGTCTTTACTGGAGTGTCTGATGGTCTAAAATAGTCAAAAACTAGAGTTAAGTGCTCTCATCACGCTTACTTTAATATAAAAATTCATGTACTTAGAAATATGTCAAAACAACTTCCAAGAACACATTGAATTTGTCGTTATCTTTGAAGCTTCGTTTAATTCATCTTTGATTCAGTCCAGACCTAGGAAAACTTTGTTTGCTTCTTACAGTTACACTTCTGTAGCCTCTCCCCGTTTCCTTCACTCTTGCTTTTTGGATTTTAGGAAGTCTGCATATTTCTTGTACATATGCATGCGAATTGGGAAAGGGAGTTTGTCCTGATGCCATTTCTCCCTTCAGTTGCTGGGTAATGGGATTTGTTAGAATAAATTCCCCTGATTGAAGGGCAAAAACAGACCCCTTTCTGTATATCTGTACAGAGATTTGTATATGGGATGTGGTGGCACTTTGCTGAATGTGAACTTGCCTTGTCAATGGAAAGATTGAAAAGTATTATGTTTATTTATACATTTGTATAAATCTATATATACACGTATGTATATGTGTGTGTATAGATAAAGCTATATACATATATTTCCCTAAAAATGTGTGTGTATAATAGGTAAACAGCCTTTGCTAAACAAGATTATACATCTATGGGAAATTCCAGATTATTCTGCAAGTCAGAGGAGGCAGTCAGAGTACACCATCAGAGCATACTAAAATGGAAGCCCTTTTGGTTATGGTCTTAGTGTTTATCACAAATCAATACCTGTCTTAAGTATTCTTTATCACAAATCAATACCTGTCTTAAGTATTCTTACTTTTCATTACTTTTTACTAGTTATTCATCTATCACTACACACACACACACACACACACACACACACACACACACACCCCTACCTCTCTGCCAAGTTGTTTTGCTCTCATAGTGCTGGAGATTGAATCCAGAGTGTCGAATGTAATGTACTGGGCAAGTGCTCTACCCCTGAGCTACACCCCCAGCCCTGTACTGCTTTTTTCCTTATATCTTTTCTAGCTAGAAGCATTTGGCTTAAACATAGTTTATTAACTTCTCAGTTGTTAACTTTCAGAGTTAACATGTCTTTATCATTCAGATTTTTCCCAGAAGATATAACTTTTAGAATATTTGCTAATAGTAATTTTGAGAATTGAGTAGTCATCAAAAATAAAAAGCTAACATCAAAGTTAATTTTGAATGTTTGCCCTAGATAAATTTGGGGTGTTTTACTTAAATTGAAAAAAAAAATTAAGATCTTATGATTGGTATTAGTAATAGGTTTATCTCCACTCTTTACTATCATTTAAGTAGGTTTTTTTTGTAGTTTAAACATAAATTTCCATTTGCATTTTAACAGAAAGTAATCAAAGTCACATGGAAGCCCCTTGAATTCCATAGCTGACTCATTTTATTCATGATGATGAAACTGCCTTGATGAATTCTTGTGTAATGAATTCTGTTGTATTTCCTTTTGACTTTTCTCACAGTTGTGACATTCGGTTTTAACTCTGCTGCAGCTCCCTAGAAAACTTGCACCCGTATATATTGTGCCTTTAAAGCTCTTATGCACACACAGATAGAAGTGTATATATATACATGTTGGCGCATGTGTACATATACTTTTGTATGCTCACACAGTATGTCTCCAGCATATATTGTGGGAGTAGACATATAGATATTTAAGGGCAATGGGATGTTGCTCTCCAGACATATATGTATATAAATAGTGTTGTTATAACTGTAGATACACATGTATATGTTTGAGTTCTAAATGGCAATCTTTTACATTTAGCAAAATGCTGCCCCTACTGGAATATTGTCACTGCAGTGGCAGTTGTATGTAATGGTTAAAATACATTAGCAAAAATTATTTAAAGAACATTTAAAGGTCTCATCTAAAAACATCCACACATTATTTATTTAGCTTCCTATTCCTTTTATTGTTGTGTAGTTTAACTGAAAGGGAGACTGTCATTTTTTAAAATGCCATCTATTGCATGAGGGACAAGAGTCACTTGAGGAACTTCACATTTTCCCTCTCTCTGAAACAGTTGATATACTACAGTTCAGCATGTTTATTTCAGCTATGAATCGATCTTAATATTTCCATTAGTGTGTGTCATCCACCATCTCCTAGATCAACTTAAACTCACCAATTTGCCTCTTCCTTTCATTAATAAGCAATGATCATTGGGATCATTTTGACTGAGGGACATTTACTACTCTCATGCTGCAGGGAAATATATCATCCAGTTGTTATTCTGCCTTGTTCAAAATTCAACTTTAAAAAAGACAGCTTTCTCATGAATCTGTCTTAAGCATATTTTGCATTTATTTAGTTAAATAAATTAAATTTTTAAAAACACACCTCTTAAGTTGCATGTACTTGGCATAGATTTCATTCCCTCCTTCCCACAAAGGTATTTTTCATTAGTATATCAGTTTTCCATACTGAATGCAAGAACATTAAGAAAAAGACCTGTTAAATACTATTTTATTTTGTGATGAGCTGGCAGAAGATTACATCTGAAGAACTTGCAAGGAGAGAAAGGTAGACAGATAATTGCAAAATGTTAGGGGGGAAAGTGGAGTGAGGGTACCCCAAAGATTAAAGCAGAAGTTAGGGTTTGAATTCTTTCACAGAGTAGCTTAGCTGGAACTTGATATCAGAAGCAGCCTTTAACAGAAAATCTTGACAACTGTGTGCTACTAACCAGAGTGCTCAAGTGTAAGCTGAACCAAGTTGCAGTGGGAAATCAAAGGTGAGGTAGCTTGTTTGAAACCTATAAATGGCTGACAGGTTGGACAGTTTTAAAATGTCTTTTAATAAAGTAACTGCATGGTAGCAAGGACTAGCAGCTCTCGAGCCCTTTTCAGTGTTTTTATTCACCTTGGCACACAAGTATGTTTAATATGCCATACATTCAAAACATAGAAAACAAAAAAGCTGCTTAAAGGGAATCTACAAACCAAGAGTCTCCTCCATTTTGTGTTAATAGTCGCTGCTTAGTTATATGCACACAAACTGGAAGCCACTCGTTTCTGCAGAGAGGAGGAAAAAGAAGAGGTGGGCAGTTTGGATGGCAGCCTGTCTGATAAGGCAGGGCTAGAAAGGCTGGCTTTGGTGTTTCTGGGGGAGGACACGTTTGGGAGATGGTGGGCTTTTGGTTTGTGATTTCCCTTTAAACAGGATGAGATGGTTCACATTTTCCATATATATATCTCAATGAATGTACTGTATTACTGTTTTAAAAATTTGATGAAATAATAATGGATTGGTCTCCTTTTGTTATCTGGTCCTTGTTTAATTTGTTTAAGGGTTTTTGTATACAAAAGTTTACATTTTTATGTATATTTTTCTTGTGTAAAAACTGATGTAATATGTGTATAAAACACTGTATGTATTATCTGTATATAGTGTGACAAAATGATTTTTCTTTCTTTCTTTTGGATGTATTAATAAATCTTGCTGTGAAGTAGCCTTGCTTCTCCTAATCATTGCCTTTGCCTGGATATTGATGGACGCTCCTTATCCAAGGTAGGTGTTTGTCCTAGTTTGTTTCTTCATTGCTGTGGCAAAATATTCTGACCACTACCAACTGGGAGAGGAAAGGGTTTATTTATCTTACATCTCCCAGGTCACAGTTCATCAGGGAGCCCAAGGTAGGAACTCAGGGCAGGAACCTGGAAGC